TAACCCTCACTCTTAAACTGATTGACTGCGAGGCACAAGCGGGGCGAGCGAGTCGCGAGAGTCCACACACTCGAAGGAGATCCCATTGGAGATCCGGGGACCTGCATAACAAGCAGACGTGCACCTCGACACCGTGGGGTCCGCGGTTACCGAAGATGCAGCTTCCACAGAGGCTGCCGGGACCATCGACCAGATTAGGCAGGGAGGGAGGGAGGGAGGGAGGGAGGGAGGAGTGGGCAGTTTCAGGGTTGTTCGATGAGGGATGAGTCTTATAGGTGTTCGCATACAAGTCTTGACGAACGCCTTGTCAAAGAACCGGCTACTAAAAGTTCCGAGGCTCTGAGCATTTCTTTCGAAACGCTCAACGAAAGCCGGTACTACTACGGTACTACTACGGTACTACTACGGTACTACTACGGTACTACTACGGTACTACTACGGTACTACTACGGTACTAGATTTAAGAGATGAATCCTGAGTGACTTGCCACTTGAACTTCGGAAGAGCATCTCACATTGGACCTCATCCCCACTCGTACCATGCAGAGTCGATGACCTGGTCGATGACGCTATGCCGGACCAGCTGATGCCGGACGCCATGTCTGACGCCAAAGCCGGGCGACATGCAAGGCATCAACCAGGACATCATGGCAGAGATTGACCATGCTTCTTTTGCGCACCATCCACTGGCCACCTAGTCCCCCGGCCTCTTCGTCCTCTTCCATCTTTCATTGATATTCTTGTCGCTGCTCAATTCCTTCCTTATGGCTATAATCCACGTCGTTGCTCCCTGACGTAATTCCCTTCCACCAATCTTTCTACCTGATATATCTCTCACTCTTTCTTTCTACCTGACATCTCTCACTCTTTCTCCACCTTGTTGCTGATCAACTGACTTTCTTGCTTCTCCCACATTTACTGAGCATTCAACACTTATCTCGATTTATGTACAATCTGATTGAAAAATTTCATCTGAATGCTACCATTTCATTAGACAATTCTGCTTCCACGCTTGTTTTGAACATTTTTTTATCGTTTCTTTGACCAACCCTTGATCGACCAGGGAATGCAATTCTTTGCATGCTGCACCAGCAGGATACAAGAAAGGCCAACGCGCGACTTCAACGACGACAACGAGCGAGCTGGTGGCTCTTCGCAGGATGTCGGCCTTGGCATTGCCTTCAAGCCAGACAAGCAGGGGCACCTGGAGGTTAAACGGCTCGTGAAAGGTGGACCAGCAGAAAAGTCGAATCTCATCAAGGTGAGCAACCAAGACGTGCGATTGCTCCAGCGGCCTGCGCCCAACTGTGACGGTGTCCGTTGTTCCAGCTCGGGGACGTCCTGCACGCAGTGGATGGAGAGAATGTTCTAGGGAGGAGCAGGATGGAGGTTGTGAACCTCTTGAAGGGGCCCCAGGGGACCAAGGTCAAGGTCAAGGTTCTGCGACCTGAACCCAATGGGAAGAAGACATTTTACGGTATGCCAAGTTTGTGCTCCCCATTCCCTCACCGACCGTTTGGCACCCTAGATTTTGTTTTGGAGCGACAGCCCTTCGAGGACATATGATCCCCCGCCTTATTCTTTCTCATCTCCCCCCATATCCTCTCTCACCCCCTTCCCCGCCCCTCCCTCCCCCGATCCCCTTGCACGATTTTACGGGCACAGGAAATGCTCTACCCCGATCTTTATTTTTGTCCAGCCTTGCGCTTCTCGTCTCAGGCTGGCCCTTCTATCAATACACATAATCAATATTTCGTCACGTGGACTTGCCCCTCGTAGTTGAGCCCTTGGTTCCTCAAGACATAAGGGCTCACACCGCAGGCAGGGTCCTCAGTCAGCTTTAGGTACTCCCGAAGGGCCTCCAGCACCTTGCCGTCCGCGTTCCCCTGCTTCTCGAGCTCGCGAATCTCAGCGAGCTTGTTGGCTGCAAGGAGCGCCCGTGCGGAGTACTGCAATGCAGGATGGTAGTCGCCAGCCAGAAGGGCCTGTGCTGTCACCCACGTGCAGTCGTTGTACTCGTTTGGATCGAGCACGATGTTTGATATCTCTTCTTGTGTCAGCTCTACAGTCAGGACGATGTTCACATCGCAGGTACCTGGCACAACCAAGGCTCATCAGGCTGAATCATTACAAGCATCGCTCACCGTTGGATTTGGGTTGCTGTTCCCGCATGCCCCAGGCCATGGAGTTGTAGCAGATGGACCGGAAGCGCTCTGGGGCGATGTCTAGCGACAGCTCTCTCTTGAGCAGCCGAGAGCAGCTTGAGGAGGGGCTCTCTCCGGGCATCATCCTCCCTCCGACGTACCACCAGTCAGGTTGAGGGTGGACTATTCTCTTCCCGAGGAAAATGTTTCCCTTGGGATCAGTGATCAGCATATCTGAGCATCCCTTCACGAAGTTGTCGAGTGCCTTGCCGTACTGCTCTCATAGTTAGACACACATGCCCAGCAAGTTTATGACGCCAACCTCGTCATCGGGCAAGAAAGTGCGATGGCTTTTGAACTCTCCCGTGACGAAGTGAAAACCCCCGATCGACATCCTGCAAGACCAATGCTCAGAACCAGCTCGAACAAACTCATACAAGGACAATCATTCAGTTGTATGGCATAACAGGTGAATGTGTCCTTCTTGTCACCGTTTCTGCCCTTGATCCTTGCCTTCCCTCAATGCTGCGCTACCTCCTCCCGATGCCTCCTCCCTGCCTCATCTTCATGTGGAAAACTCTTCTTTAGTCCTTCAACTGCTATTACATCATCCACTCAGACTGATACATTCACTGCTCATCCTCTTCGCCCTCCTCCTCCTCCTCCTCTCCCCTTCCTCCTTCATGCTCCAAGCAGGCCCCCATGCTTTCTTCAGGCATGCTCGACCCCTAAAACCCCTACCCGACCCTGCTGGCCTAGCAAGTTTGGTCACACCCACCATTCCCAAATATATACCCCACTATTGACACTTTGAAGTACCGGTATCTGAAGATATTCTTGCTTGAGTACCCCCTTGGACTGACCCCTTGTTTTCGACCACCCCCTCCTTGCTACATCTATTCGCCCCTCCCGTCCAGACACGATGAGACCCAACTGTGGCATGACGACGGGCGGGGGGGAGGGCGAGGGAGGGAGGGGAGGGAAGGAGCCAGCGAAAGCTCCAGCGATGTAGACGAGGTCAGGAACAAAGACAAGTGAGAATCGTCAGAGAGCTAGAGATGAACAGGAAGAAGCAACCTTGTGAGAGCATGGAAACCAGGGCGAGCGAGTGCATGGCACGAGATTCTTCTCATTTGCTCTGGCCGGGACCACCCCCCAAGGCAAAATTTTAGACCTGACAACTCATCACAGAGGGAATGATGGCTTCATCGTCCTCTAACATGTCCCAGCAGGATGGGAGGTTCATCCTCCAAGGCGCTAACAGAGCTGTCAGCAGCTCAAGCGCAAGTTCGCAAGCTCACGGCAGACTTGCAGGCAAGACCAGGACCCTGATGCTAAGATGCTTCCATACTTATCTTCTCTCAGAACGCCATGTCGGTCGCAGAGCAGAACCGCAACAAATCCTCGCTAGCCGACACCTACCAACGAGAGACTTCTCGACTGCAGGACGAGCTAAAGATGTCGAAGAACCAGTTGGAGATCCTCTCAGCTGAGCTCAAGCTGGCGAAGCGCAAGTATGAGAAGAGCTCGGTGAAGGATACCACGCAGAACCAACAGATGAACGAAGTCGAGAGATCAAACACGGAGCTGCTGAAGGCTGCCGGACACGTAGATGCTTGCTTCTCTTGTTTGACGTGCGCTCATGGCGTGGTTTCTTCAGATCCTGGGAGGCAAAGAACATGAGATCTATGGCCAGCTCATGGTCGATCTCGGCTACAAGAAGATTTACTGCGCTAACCCTGTGACCCTGTTGGCACAAGCCAAGATATGGAAGAAGCAACGAGCCTTTCGGCAGCATCGGGCTGAGAGCATTGCAAACGTGCTTGATAGTCTCGTCACAGGCATTTGCTGACGTACTCTCGTTCTTGGGCAGAGCAAGATGAAGAGCAGCGTGAAAGGCTGGCCGGGAACGATATCGATCGCGGAGATCAAGGATCCTGAGAACTCGGAGAAGGAATGCTTCATAGTCGATGGGCAGCACAGGCTGGCGGCATGCATGCTCCTGTCCTCCAAGGAGAATGCGCCGGAGGGAGCGGACAAGGTCATCGTAGAGGTCTGCCATGGATCCTCACTGATGTGAGCGAGTGACAAGTATCCTGCAGGTCTACCCGGACATGCAGGACCAGAACACCACAGATCTCTTCGTCGAGATCAACAAGGCAGAGCCTGTAAGTACATGATCAGCTAGGCCTGCAGCTGGGCTGTAAGTTGGGCAACTGATCGATTCTTGCTCAGATCCTTCACGTCGACATTCCAATAGCCGACGTCGGCGCATCTGCCACGCATCAAGCCATCCTGTCCGGTGCAGCCGAGAGGCTGCAGAAGATGTCGGGACAGAGTCGAAGATGACTGGTGGAGCCTAACGAGCCTCTTGCAGGAACCCCGAGATGTTCAAGGAGAGTCAGAACTGTCGCATCCCTCACATGAACATCGACAGGCTGCGCGATGAGCTGCATCAGGTCGGGTTGGCTTGCTGTTGGTCGCAGGAGGATGACGGGGGGGAGGGGCGCAGGCTGGTGTGATCGATGAGAATGGCCTCAAGTCCGACGAAGATCTGCTGAAGTGGCTAGAGGAGAGAAACAAGGAGGTGACTGCTTCTCCTGTTACGTGGCACGAGGTGACATGCCGCCAGTTGGCGCAAAAGGATGATCACTACTGGAAGGAGTTTGAAGGGAACGCGACCAAGGTAAGAGACGAGGAGGATGGAAATGCAGCAGTCTGAGCTCGAGCACCGCAGATGAAGGCATTAGAGAAGGCGAGGAAACACAATTTCTTCCTGGGGTTGAACTGGCAATGGCTTCACAAACATTGAATAGACTTGATCTTATCACGGGCGTGAGAACTCCGCGACTACCGATACTTGCTCCCCTCCTCTCTCCTTCCTGCCCTCCTTCGTTGACAGAGCTTATGGGCGCCAGTAGATCTTCTTTGGCTTTCCATCGTCCTCTGCGACAAGACATTAGCACATCGTTTCCGTCACCTTTCCGAACCCCGCCCTGCCTGCCTGCCTGCCTGCCTGCCTGCCTGCCTGCCTTTCCCCTTTTTTCATCTCTGATAACATTCCAATCCTCTGCTCGGTTTCCTTGTCCATCCTTCCTGTCCCCACATTACATTACCCACCTGTGCTCTCCACCGACATTTTTTCCAGCTCCATCTTCTCCAGAATTTCCTATGAGAGCACGGTATCAGATGCCCAGCACGCGCCCACGTACGGTTCAGCAGAAACACCTTGATCTTTTTGCAGACAGTACATCCAGACTACCAACAGCAGGTGAGTGGTCAACAACCGTACAAGAAAGATGGTGACCTTGCATTTGATCTCCAGCAGGTGTCGAACCATGTGTTCGAACTCTTCCTGCTCGTTTGCTCGTCAGTATCCTGCATGCATGCGACAAAATTATGCGCACGATGTCAAACTCCCCGTTGTCGTCCGCATCGAATTGTTCAATGAGAACTCGAACTTCATCCGCTGTCTTTGGTGCACCCATCTCCGCAAATGCCGTAAGGAGCTCAGAGACTTCTAGTGTTCCCGATTTGTTTGCATCATGAGTGTTGAAAGTCACTGCGATCCGCTCTGAAAGTTCTGCTTCGCTCGATGTTGAGAAGAAATTCCGTAGCGTCAGACTTGTTTCCACTAGCACTCTGTTTGGAAGCGATTAAAGAGCTACATCACTAAGAGGGAGCATTGATTTCACTTGTGTGCGTAGTTTAAAGTATCTTTTGACTGCTCTTTGAAATAATTAATCTTCTTCGATACCTGCGCGCTATTCACCGCGGCAAATTATTGAGCAGACTACTTACAAGCTCCTTCGCGTCTACTCGTTTGAGAAGGCTCAGTGGCATCCTTGCAAAAGAAATTCTTGAGCGAGGAGAGAGCTGCAACAAGATCTCAGCATGAAGAAAGTAGGTCAATATCAGTTGTCCTGCCTCGGAAGGAATAAATGTCTGCAAAAAAACCGTCAACACCATGGGAGAAAGAGAACAAAGTACGAAGCTTACAATTGTGGCGTTAGACACCCTCCGTGTGGATGGCAGCCCCAGTAAGGTCTTCTTGCAAACTTCAGACACCTTTACATGGTTGTCAAACTCGCGAAATCAAATTTAGAGGGGTCGCAAGTTCTCACTCCAGAAACGTCAACGGCCGCAAAGTCACCCCCCTCCTTGTTCAGAAGTGCGAAGTTTTGTAGCTGCATAATTGAGATAGAGCTCCGTCTTCGGGGCTTATACTTCCCTTGGAACTTCTGCTGCAACGTTTGCATCTCTGCGATGAGCTCTTTGATTTCATGACCGAGATTGTGTTCGAATATTTCTTTTTCTTCTGGCGATAATAGCTTTGACAAGGCATTGTAACTCTCCAGACATTGGGTGATTGCGCTTTCGCTCTCCTGCTCAAAGATGCTCAGAAAGATAAAATTTCACCTTGGATATGATGTAATAGGGTGAGATTGACAAGAAATCAAAGTATCGATTGGAGCATTTGTTTCAATCACCTCCATATCTTCTTTGATGTGATTCTCGTTGGGGCATTGCTTGATGTAGTCTACAAGCTCCTCAGCCTCCAACAACAGCTCATCAAACTTCCGGACATGTTCCCTGACGTCCTTTGAACCAGCAGAAGTCAGCGAGTCGAATCACCTTCAGCTCCATCGTCTAGAACAGTCAAATCGTCGGAGTTTTGGTTATGGCATCTTCCTCTTCCTCCTCCTCCTCCTTCTCCTCCTCCTCCTCACCTCGTTCTCCAGCAGCCTTGTGCGCGTGAGCAGCAGCTGCAGCTCGCTCATTGCTCCGGATACAGCACTACTTGCAGTACATTCAGGGTAATCCCTGCTGGGTTGTTATTCAACAATGTCTTGAGCTCAGATAGTTTCAATTTTTCGTCTTAATGTGAAATATTCATAAACTAATTGAACATGTAATGAAAATAATAACCCCCCGTGGGTACAAATTTGCTCATCTTCAGCGACATCTCAGTCGCATCATTTTTTTAGTAGGGGGGGTCAGGGTAGTGCAGGCCTCAATGAGTACCCCTTCCTTGTACCGTGAGAATACGGGTGATCTTTGCGGTGGAGTGAGGAGTTAAAGATTGACTTTTTTTTTCATTACCCGACTCTATTGCCACGCCGCCGGGCCGTCACTGAGCGGCGCCCGGCCCGGGCCCCCGCGGCCGCAGCCGCCGCGCACGCGGCAGCGCACGCGGCAGCCTCTGGCAGGCCCTTAGCGGAGTCAGTTCTGATTACTCACTGTCAATGTTCAACAGTACTGCTGAAATCAGCACCGTGGGACGGGCCGCAGTACCGCCCGTCACGGCGGCCCGGGCCCCGGCTCCGGGCGGACTCCGGACTCGCCCGGCGGGCGGCGGCCCCCGCCGGCCGGGCCGGGCCGCTCAGCCTGAGCCGCCCGGCCCCCGGATGGCACCGACCGAGAAGAAATCTTTCAAAAGCTGCCTTCTATTTTGAAATATACTGAGCAATTTTGAAGAATGGCAACCTTATCTTTAAATGTCACAGTCTTTTTTCATAATTTGAAAATATCTTGAAAGTTTTGAATAGATTTGGATGGCACCAATTTTGAACGGGTTTTTTTGAACGGAGGTGTGAGTCTGGACAAGGAAAAAAATTTAGAGTACGGATTGGCTACTTCTGCACACCCACCAGTTCTTACTGGGGTAAGCACTGATAAGGTAGGGTATTTGGTAGTCAAAAGGGGGGTATCAAACTATCACAGCCATGTAAGGTACCCTGAGGATGGTGTAGTGCCAAATGAACTCCATGGGTTCTGAAACATTTGGGTGGGTAGTCCCTCACAAAGGGTTAATTTCAAGGGGTGGGGTGATCAAATGTTCAATTCCTGCCCCACTTTTCTATCGAGAAATGTGGGGTACATGACCCCCCTTTTGAAATAAAGGTTCCCTATGGTTGGGTTTGTGTGGGTCTGATCGTACGAAAGGGGGTTATATGATGAAGTCGGCATAAATTGGGCGTTTGAGGGTCCTACCGTAGGGTACTTTAATCGCTGGAAATGGTTGGGGTGGGTAGATTCAAATTTTCTTTCTTGAATCCGTCAGGCCACGTGGCCGAAGAGGGACGACGACAACATGGTGAGAACTCGGGCTGGATAGCGAAACATGAGCAGTGGGAAGGAGGAGGACGCGGCTGTGAGCGATGAAATCGATGTGACACAGACAGAGATATAATATGCAATCTCGTGCAATCCATTGGATGTACCTGTGTTCGTTGCATGCATGTTGAAAGTGCGTTTCGTTATCGATGACACAATCGGTCGTGTAGATTGTGATCTCGATGCTTTCCTTGCAGCTTTCAGCTGCACCCTGCTACTGCCTGATTCTAAAGATCCAGTGCTGTCTTATTTTTGATTTGATGGATAAAACCTTGGCACCTTCTATCAATGTTTGTTTGGCTAGCTTAACGCGGTTGTTCAACTGAGCCACAGTTTCGTAACGAATGATCGATTGTTGAGATGGGAATATGAATTACCCCATGTGCATTTGTCTTCTTGCTTTCACACTGCAGTTGAAGCATACTGCATTCTGTTGTCCAAACACTGATCCTTGTGATGCATTGTGGGATCGTGGGACCAGACTGAACATTTGGTGGATTCTTTGTGAATTCTAGACTTGTTTCTGAATTATTTTGTAGTGCTGTAAGAATTTTTGACAACACTAAGTATTCCATGCTTTAGGCCTCTGGTGTTGGTGTAGCAGATGACTGCGTCAGCGTCTTCAACGACTTGAAGCTTAAGCATAGCATGAAATACATCGTGTACAACATGAATGATAAGATGACGGAGATCCAAGTTATGAAGACTGGAGGCAAGGAGGCGACCTACGAGGAGTTCTTGAAGGAACTGCCCGAGAACGACTGCAGATATGGCGTGTTCGACGTAGAGTACACTGATCCTAAGACCAAGGCAAGCCGCAATAAGATAGCGTTTTTCATCTGGTAGGTGTTGGAGTGCTTGCAAGAGGAGCGTGTTGACAACTGTGCTTTCTCCAGGTGCCCTGACACCGCCAAGGTTCGCACGAAGATGATCTTCGCGTCATCAAAGGACGAGCTGAAGAAGCGACTTGTGGGCATTGCATGCGAGGTTCAGGGTTCGGATGCGGGAGACGTTGCTTTGGAAACTGTGAGTCTGGTTATAAGTGAAAGAATCTGCGAGCTGATTCAATACTGCAGGTTGTGGACAGGTTGCAGCAAATTTAAAGTCTTTCTTAGATTTTTTTTGTTTTTGTTCGAGTGATTCGCATATTTCGATACTAATAGATCAATTTGACCATGTGGTGACTTGCTGAGCTGTTTCATGTCAGGTTGGCAAGTTGAAATGACGCCACAAGTATTTTCGATCGCTGATCTGTGCAGATTATCATCATATTTGACCATGCTAGATATTTGCCATGCCTTGAGTAAGACACGTCGGTTACACACTCTCACTTTATCCTCAACCCTGCATTTTCACAGCTGCGAGCTGAGATTGCCTTATGAAAATCTGATATCCGTCTTAATGAGGTGTAGATACATGCATAAATAGAGTCAAGTCCTACGCCAGTGTAGGTAGGCAACATGGATCTCTGATAGGTGTTTGAGCTGTTGTTAAGGAGGTCTGATGCCTATTCCTCCATAAAGTTATGTCTTGCTGGGACATGCCGCATTTTCAACTTCTTCACGATCTTGCATTTCAATCATCCAGTCTCAGTGCAACTCAACGTCTTCAATCGGACGTAATTCCTCTTGCCCTGAACTCTCTTCATCCTTCCTCACTGCCAATCTTCTCTCCCTCGCTCACCCCTCCCTCGTCCACCCCTCCCTCCCTCCCTCCCTCCCTCCCTCTCCCCCTCGCTCGCTCCCTCCCTCTCCCCCTCGCTCGCTCGCTCCCTCTCTCCCTCTCCCCCTCTCCCCCTCTCCCCCTCGCTCCCTCGCTCCCTCGCCCCCTCTCTCCCTCGCTCCCTCCCACAGCCCTTGCATCTCTTGCAACAGCACCTCTTGTGACTGGTCTAAATGGGCCAAGTACCCCACATCAACCCTGATTCAGTTTGGTCCAAAGGGGGTGGGGTGGTGTTATTGTTCGACTGATTCCCGAGGCACGATGGTAGATGGGAGGGGAGGGAGAGGGAGGGGGAGCGGGGCAGAAGGACGAGGACGAGCGGGAGGTGGAGGAGGAAGATCAGTGACAAGGTCAGAAGGAGCAAGGACAGGGGCAGGAGCAAGGAAAGGACGTGTCTGTGTTAGGGAAGTTGACGCAAGGATAGGACGAAAGCCGTGGGAAGGGCCAGGGCATGGGGTAAAGAGGAGCATGGGACTGAATGGTCAGGGGACGCAGAAGTGGTGGCAGGATGAAAAGGGATAGGATGGAAATGTAGTAGCAAGTAGGCAGGAGGAACATGTGGCAGATTCGGCACCCTTTGCCATGAAACCAGACAGCGGTATCGTGGGCTACCTTGCTTTGAAGGACGGCTTCCGATGCCGTTGGTGGTTAGGAAGGTTTCTGAAGGACACGCGCGGTAAATTGGACTACTTTTAGTACTGCATGAACTCAGCAGCAGAGTTGGAAGGCCAGTGGCATCGGAATGCGTTCATGAGGAAGGATGCGGTGTAAGGGAAGAGGTAGGAGGTAGGAGTGCCGGAGTGACGCATGATAGAGGGTCGTTTTTCACCCTGAGTTTCTCGCAAGCATTGCTGAGTAGCAGGACGAGCGAAACGACACGATCGCTGCTCGTCCTCATGAATGTGACAACATGGTCGCCGAGCACGTGAGGGTTGGCGTGGGGTTATATTGGTGTCTGGATGAGGATGATTGTGCGATTGTTTCCTCCACCGCTCTTTCTGACTGGCCTCATCCTTTCACCAGGAGAAGACATACACATGCTGCAGGCGCGAGCTCGTGCGAGTGTGATCGAGTCAGCCCAGGAAAGATAACGAGGAGGGAGGAGAGGGGAGCAGCGGCTGCGATGGAAGGAGCAGACAAGGAGGAGAGCGCTGTGGAGGAGATAGCGGCGGACGTATCAAACATTGCTCTACAAGCAGGAGATGGGCGGGATGTTTCTCATCCTGGACCTGAGGATGTCGACGACGGCGGCAAGATCAGCGCTGTGGAGTTGCTGGAGAAGTGAGAACTATCTCCTTCACTTCCCTTCCTTGACCGCTCCAGTAAGGCTCGAGTACTTCTTCTCTGACCCGGAGTTCACGGACGCGCTGCGAAGTTTCTTCGAGGAGAATCAAGAAAAGTTTCAGTTCGTCGACGTAGGGATGGAGCAGCCAATCTCGTGAGTGCCCTGCCCTGCCCTGCCCTGCCCAGGCGGTGCCCGACTGATCCTCGTCGGCATCGTTGCGCAGGAACTACGATCTCTACCTCAAGTACACCAAGAGGATCGAGGACCTGCTGGAAGACTTCCTTGCCAAGAACCAAGTCACGCACGAGGACATCATAAACATCTGCATGGAAGGTGAGGTGCGCGGGAGGTGGGAGGAGGAGCTGATGCGATGGTGGAGCAGAGAAGCTGGAGGGCAACGCCAGCAGCTACTGCCTGGACTACATAATCGCGTCCACAGAGTATGAGGCGTTTATTCAGGTGCTCCTCCTCCTCCCCTTGCTCCTGCTAGCAGTTGCTCCTCCTCCCCTTGCTCCCCTCGCTCGGCTGCCTGCATGCCAGACTGATGAGAGAGGCAGATGATGAATGACTTCAACGCCATGTGCACCTTCGACGTCGGGGATGATGAGCTCATCGAGTTCTACCTGGAGGAGAGAAACCCCAAGGAGGAGGGCGGTAGAGGAGGCGCTGTAGAGGAGGAGCAGGAGCGTGCGGATCCTGAGGAAAGGACGAGGGTTGGAGGACACTGACAAGCCACGGGGGAGGAGGGAGGAAGGACATGATGATTGTCTTTCTGTTTACATAACTGTACAAGGAGAGCACAACTCTATCACTAACATGCACATCGAAATTTCATCTGTTCTTTCATGGCTTCCTGACCTGCAGCTTGCTGCCCCAGGCAGCTGCAATGACGCCGAGGAGGATGCCGTAGATGACGAGGAGGAGGACGAAGCAGAAGACGAACAGACGAGCTATCTGCTTCAGCACGTGGGAGTAGTCCGAGACCTCTTGGTTGATGCTACGAATGTCGCTGGACTGTAAAAGACAGAGCAAAGATCAGAATACCACCTTTCTCGTGCTCACGTTATACCCCTCCTTCCTCCCCTCTCCATTCTTGTCTCCTCTCTCTCTCCCCTCCCACCTCTCCCAACCTTCCTCCCTGCTCACCTGCATAGCGCTGAAAACTCCTAGCAGCTTGCTAGCATGCACCAGAGGCTCCACCTCCTTCTTCCTTAGGGGCTGCGGGAACTCCACGGAGAAAGCATCTAGCTTGCGCTTCTTGAACGAAGGCTGCCGTAGAACCGCCATCACTCCCTCCTCCTCCTCGATCACAGGAGGGAACAGTCGAGGGAGTAAGGCGCTAAGCACGCTCCTTAGGACCCCGCCATCCTGTATGTTCACCAGGCACCCGTACACAAAGAGGAGGACCAGGGCTGCTATGATGAGTGGGACGTTCCACAAGCTCGAAGAGCCGCAAGAGGCGTCGGTGACCGCAGGAGGGTAGATGAAATCTCGCTCCTCGGCCACGATGCTGCTCATTGTGCCATCCTGCGTCATCGCCTGCACCGTCGAGTCGATGGCGTTCATCAAGTACGTGGCAGCATACACGCTCTGCCCGTACGTGCAGACCCTGATGGCGGGCTGAAGGAGGATGACGACGCTGCTCGTGACGCTCCCCCCGACAAACTTGAGCTGGTTGCCGCAGAGCGTGAAGGCGAGCTGGCTGGAGCGGAAGTAGTTGACGACGTCGGCGCGAGGGAGAAGGAGCGCGTCAAGCTGGTTGTTGGCCAGCTTGTCGACGCATGTCTTGACCGAGTCGCAGACGGTGCTGGTGAACCCATACTGAAGGTCGAGATTGAGGGAGGAGGTTCGGTTGAGCACACCCACCTGCAAACCTGTGAGACAGAGGTAGAGGCCGGAGAGAGGATAATCAAGAGGATAGAAGGACGATGTCTGTCTGTCTGTCTGTCTGTCTATCTGTCTGTCTGTCTGTCTGTCTGTCTGTCTGTCTGTAGGGAGGGAGGGAGGAAGACAAGGAGGCTGACTCACAACGAAACCAGCGAGAGAATCGGCATCAGCGATGTTGTTGACAGCAAGTTGGTCACCGATGAAGGAAGTGACTTGACTTGAGAAGGTCCCGAAGACAATCAGACCAAAAATCAACCAGAAGATGCCGAAGAGTTTGCCGATCTCACTGACCGGGGCTTTGTCTCCGTATCTATGACAAACCATCAGAAAAGTAACACGCGGCGGCGGCGGAGGAGGAGGAAGAGGAGGATCAGGATCAGGAGGAGGAGGAGGAGGAGGATCAGGATCAGGATCAGGAGGAGGAGGAGGAGGAGGATCAGGATCAGGAGGAGGAGGAGGAGGAAAGACGCCAGATGAAGAGGCCTGTGGGAGAGTTGAACTGACCCGACAGTCGTCATCGTCACCATCGCCCACCAAAGGCCATCAATGACTCCTTCCGCGTAGAAGGGACGGAAAATCGTCTCGTTGGTCCACCTCTCGATGATCCAAATCACGTGTCCAACGATGAGGACGGTGAAGAACAAGGAGCAGAAGAAATTGACGAACTGAGGAGAAACTATCATCTCTGCGAGGACGGTGTAGAGAGAGATGGACTGGTCCTCGGACCTCACCACGACACTGAGACCGTCATCTGGCCAGAGCGAGGAGGTGCACAACCACTCGCTGGGCACATTCGTGTACTCCGTGATGACGGCAAGGTTGAAAGACCGAGAGTAGATGTTCGGAGGAGTGATGTTGTAGGACGAGAGGTCCGTTGCTGCTCCTTGCAGCTCTCTATGGGGGTTGGGCAAGACCTTTAGAGTTCCCTGCCAGCCCAGGCGACGAGTAACGTTGTTCAGCACTCTATACACGAAGCCTGCAAGGTTGGGATCAACCTGAAGCGTTCCCAGATCAAACTGCTGCTTCTCTAACGCGTCGCGGAAGAAGGAGGTGTCGTTCAGGATGGCAAACACCAGAGGACACTGCGAGCTCCAGGGGTAGCTGCTGGAGTAGGAAGCGTAGGCTGTGGAGGAGCGCAACGTGCAGTAGTGATAGAGCGAGTAAAACGCGTACTGCTCCTTTCCAATCATCCCGTTGCTCCCTTTGTGACCTTGATAAGGACCGTATGCGGTGGGAAAGTCCGCGAGCTTCCACTCCGTGAGATTGATGAAGTTGTCCGCATTCCTGTCTGCAAAGATCCGCTTCCTCTCGATGAAGGTGACCACTCCATCGTCGTTGAGGTCGTGATCCGCCCACGACGCCCATCCTTGAAAGTTGCCCCCAGCCGACGTGCTCTTGTCATAGAGCGATAGGTTGTACTCCCAGCGCTCCAACACTCCATTTCCGTTGATGTCTGCAAACACCCTGAAGTAGTGCTCCTCCAAAGAGATTCGGGTGGAGCCATCCAGGTCAGCGTTCTGCTGATAAAACAGCTCCTCGCCTGGTTGCGGTTGTCTGGTCCTTGCAGACGACCAGCCGTTGGCGATGTACAGGCGAAGGAGAAGGTTGTTGGCTGTCACAACCCACACACTGACCGTGCTGTTGTCAACGAAGACTCCTCCGAGGGGGCCCATGGCGAGGGTGTTCTCGTTGTCGATGGGTGCTGGAGCCGTGCTGGAGAGGAGGAATGGAGTCCAGAAGTGCCTGAGGATGACATACTCCTCGTAGCTCAACAGCCCGTCCTTGTTGAGATCTGCGATCGCAAACATCACGGACGCGTTGAGGAAGTTGGCGTCAATCATCTGCTTGTTCGGGATCTGAGAAAAGAAGCCCTGCTCCAACTCGCTCATCGACAGGTAGCCAGCCGGGTGCCCGGCGCTGCTGGAGTCCAGCTGGCGGAACTCGTCCGGGAAGACTGAGCAGTTGAGGTACTTGGGGATGACGCCGAGCTCGCTGGTTTCATTCAGGAGGGGCCCTGACGTCACTTGGATCGGATCTCCGATCGGATATTGCAAGTTCCACACGCATTGCATGCAGCAGGACATATACTCGTGCACGTACTTGTCGGCCGGGAGGGGGACGATGGAGCATGTCCCTCCCGGACACTCGGAGTCTGCAACACACGCGTGCCACTCCTTCGAGCCTCCTGAGCAGATCTTTTGAGCACCCGAAGCATTCGTAAGCTTGTACCACTCCCAGGGGGGATGGGGCATGTGCTTGTTCCAATGGGATGCAGGGCATTGAAAAATCTGCCGCCAGTCTCCAGGGCGGAAACAATCAGTAGCGTCTTTGCAGCAAAGTCCAGGAGACCCCTGCGCTGTCGATGGAGCGGGTATCCATGTTACCGCAATGCTGGCGATCGCAAGTAGCGCTTTCACTGTCATGCCTGGAAGCAGCGTTTGCGAGGACTAATCGGTGGAAGGGAACAATTGATAGTCCATCATCGTGAAATTATGACCATCTCTGGTTGACCACTTGCTGCCGAACGGCTGAAATGAATCAGAGTGAGAAAACGAAGAGAACGGTTCAAATCCAACAAGAACCAAGTGATGTACATAAGTTCCATCATGCACACATGTATGTCTTGTACGTTCCATCATGCACACATGTATGTCTTGTGGCTATCATAGCTACAACCCATTAAAATTGCATTTCCAACATCTAATGTTCATTCACTGCTTCGGCATCCTTGTACTCTCCTTCTTTCTCTCCATCTCTTTCTCCTTCTCTCGACTTCCGTTCATCTATCTCCCCATCATCTATCTTCTTCCCCGCTTCCTCCTCCTCCTCCTCCTCCGCCTGATCTTGTTCCGCCTGCCCATATCCTGAACCGGCGCTGAAACTATTTTGCTCCTACCACCCTCCGATGTACCACCCCGGAAAATTATACCCCACCCCCCATTCCTCTTTTGTGATCTGTACCCCCACCCCGTTTAATACCACATCGTTACCCCTATTCTCCGTGAATGTTTCGATAAATTCACTGCCACCACCCCAGAGTTTCTCACCACCTAACCCTACCCTGCCTGTCATCATCAAATTCTCTGAGGCAGACTTGGTGGATTTTGTGGTATTACTACCCCATATCTACATCTCAAATAGGGGTAGTATTACCTTCAAAAGTAGGGGTAGTTTTCCCAAGTTTTTATGCCCCCACCCCTCCTGAACTAGGCAGCAAAACCTCTGAACCCTTGCCCTCTATGCAGATCCTACCATGGGCAGTAGGGGGAGGAATGGCGATGCCGGGAGATGGCAGATGGGGCAAGGAAGGAGGAGAACGGTGTTGGAAGTGATAGGCGGGAGAATGAGCAGGATGACTTGCCACAGTTCGGGGCGAGCAGGGAGGAGTCGTGGATGGAGGAAGTGCGAGAACGAGGCAGGTCACGAAGACGATTCTTGTCAGAGGATGAGGAAGGACAAGGATCGAGGGGGTTGATGAGAGAAACATCAGGAGAAGTTAAGGAGTCAAGGAAGAGAAGACAGAAACAGGCAGGAAGGCGTGTAGGCAGAGACAGGTCTACACGTTAAGGTTTGCAGGGTTGAGAAGGGAGGAAGTAGTCATCTGCATCACAGCAGGGCAAACAGGGTGAAGGGATGCGGGGGTGTAGAGTAAGGCCGCAGAAGATGATAGAGATAGAATGATCATGGAATGGGAATAGAGATAGAATGATCATGGAATGGGAATAGAGATAGAATGATCATGGAATGGGAATAGAAATAGAATGATCATGGAATGGAAATGAGGAGGAGATGATTGGCTTGCCTGGGTGGTCAAGTCTGCTGTCTCCATTCCGCACGTTGAATGGGGCTAATATGAGCTTTGACTGTGTTCGTGTGAATTGGTTCATCGATGAAGCTTGCTGATGTTAGATTGCTGCGGTCTCATCGAGCTGACTATGGTGAAGGAGGGCACCTAGATGAGCTAGAGGGCAGCAACCATGAAGGCTTGCGCAGAGTTGGATTGATCCTCCTGCGACGCAATGAGCGGGGACGGGTCAAGTGCGAGAGATCCTGGGGTGCGGGGAGAAGAAGCGGAGCTGAAAGGCTCGAGTAGTCCACAAGACTCCGGTAAATAGCATGCATCCTCCGCAGAGCAGACGCCTTGTCACAAGGCTCTTGCAAGTCCTGCCAGTAACATGTTCCCCAGGTGCCAAAGTGGGAGAGGCAAGCACGCTGCACCAAGTGGATCAGCCTATAACGATGGTCGCTGGGGTGGGAGGGATCGACAACAACGAGAACGAGGAGGAAGATCATCACGATGAGGTGCTTGCTGCTCATCGAGAGATCGTTCAAGAGGATCAGGAATGGGAGAAAAATTGGCTAGACTTCCTCGACAAGAAGGGGATCCCCCACCCGCTGAAGATACCGGGGTTGTGTGGGAAACCTGTAAGGCCCATTCTCCTCTTCCAGGAAGTTCTGAAACATGGTGGGATTAAGATGGTGAGTCATCTTCTCAGGAATCATTTCGTTCCCTGACTTGATGCCTGGCTTTCCAGTGCCTGAAAAAAAAGGTGATGAAGCAAGTAAGTCTTGTGCTCCTTTGTTGCGGTGGTCCAGAGAATGTTTTGTTCTGATCTGTTTGCGGATGGATAATAGGTTGTGAGTTCCATTCAGACTGGTACGAACAACGAGAATTTCAGGTGAGCACTGTTGGACGATGACGACGTGCTGAAAGCTCTCTCTAGATCCACAGTTCATAGAATGAAACGATTTTATTGGCGATACTTGTATGACTTAGAATTGAAACACCGGGTATGCGCGATTGTTTTGATCGAAAGGTCGTTGGAGTCACTTCAACTCGTAGAACTGCAAGAACGAAAAGGAGGATGGCGACGAAGGGCCGGGATTTAGCCCGCAGAAGTTGAAGGACGAGAACCATGGCAGCAGCAGCATGGATCAAGATTCGAATGCTGCTGAGCACAAGGTCAAGCGATGCACAAGGATCCAGCCCCAAGAGGATGCGGAAACAGAGTTGACCCCAGAGCGCCAAGAATGGTTGCAGCAGTGGAGAGATCACATGAAGGTGTCCGGACAAAGCAGCGTCGTCCCCTACATGGCTGGCAGGAAACTGGACATCTTCCAGCTTCATGGGATCGTGACGAACATGGGGGGGATGGACGAAGTGACGAAGAACCGAAGGTGGCGAGAGGTGTGCAGGATTATGAACCTTCCGGAGAGCGCCAGCGGGACGCTGAAGTTCCACTATTTCCGTCTTCTGTTTCGCTTCCATGGCGCCGTCCATGAGGCTGACAACGAGACTGACGCAGTACTGGACGAGTCTGTGCTAGAGGATGAGAGCTGGAACGATGGTATGCCCGATACGAACTTCCTCCTTCAGTCATGTGTGAACAAGTCTCGGAAGCTCACAAAGGACGGGAAATCTTTAGAGGAGCAGGTGGACAAAATCTTGTGTTTGATCGAGTCGCTTCCTCAAAATGATTTCTCATACTCCGACACGTTAGTGGAGATGTACTCAAGGGATTTGAATGTGGTGGATCAGAGCAATGTCGGCCAGACTTCAGCTTCTTTCCTGGCAAAATTCCATGAGTTTGAGGAATTCTCCAACGTGTTGGGACGGAAGACAAGTCAGTTGAAGAAGAAGGTAGAGAAAGAAGTCCAGGAGTTCCAGAAGGGGGGTGAGAAAAGATGTCAGGCGTCAGCTCCAGGGTCGTCGGGACGGAGCCAAGAGAGCGAAGGGTCCAACAAGCGCGAGATGATCCCTCTGTTCAGAGATGGGCCGAACTTGTACTGTGAAGGGGACTGTGTGATCCTCAATTCGGAGGGTTCAGATACTCCGTTCATAGCACAGCTCCTCGCGTACGACAGGAAGAGCGACTTCCTTCATGTCAGGTGGCTCTACAAGTGCGAGGAGGTGCAGAAGACAAACAGGAGTGCCCTCTACCACTACCGAAAGTAAGCTCCTTTCCTCCCCCTCACGTTGTCGGTGATGTTGATTTTGTGCAGACGGCACGTTCCCGACCATGATGTAGCCTACACCAAACCAGCTTGGAATGCAGAGCACGAAGTTTTCTTCTCTTTGCACATGGATAAGGACGTTCACCGCAACACCGTTCTCGGGCTGGTCACCGTGTACTTCACCGAGGGGAACCCGATCGACCCGCACAAGTACCTGCGGTCGGGGGAGTACTACTGCCGAGCCGTCTGGGACCCGTCGGAGGAGCACGTCTTCCACTTCAGCGAGAACGATTTCAAGGAGAGCATGCGGACAGCGATAGACGAGGAGCTGGTTTTCAGCCCCTACCCCTACCCCCTCACCTCCTCCTTCTCCTCCATCTTTGGGCACGACGAGACGGGCGAGGCGGACACGATGAGCAGCTCGATGCGCTACCTGCACTCCAATTCTGAGGTGAAGGATGAATGGCTGAAGGAGGCCGGGGCCCAAGTCAGCGAGCGCGTGCTGGAATGTGTTCAACACCGCAAGTACCGCAGGGTTGAGGTGAGAGCGATCGCCAAGGCCATGGCCATGGAGGACGAGCTGGATGACTGTTGCTTCTCCTCGGAGGATGAGGCCGCCTTCGTGGACAAGAAAACATCGCGCTGCCCGCCCGCGGGCTGCGTCTTTGACTCGGTCCCCTCTGGGCACACTCCTCAACCCAAACCTAAGGTGCAGGAAAGGTGGAAGGCTCTGGAGTCCTCTGAGCCTTCCATGTGCACTGACTTCGACGCCTGGCACGAGACCATGAGGCAGATGTGGAACGCCATGCTGGAGAGGAAAGGAGCCAGGAGGGAGCCGCCCAAGGTCACTAGACCTCAACGACTCTCCTCCACCTCTCGCCGGCCCCCGACCTTGGAGTCTCATGACTCGCAGGTGGACAGTCGGTGCCTTGAGCTGGTGGCTTCGTTCGACGCCCAGAGATTCGCGCTTACGGTTGACAAGAAGGCAATGGACCAGCTGCCGCCCGGCTGGGATCTCAGGGTTGACAACCCCATCTTCAGCCCAGGTGGCCCCTTGCCTGCCACGTCCTTCAACTCCCCCGAGGGAGAGAGCTTTGACTCCCTCACTGCTCTAATGCGGAAGTTCCACAAGAGTGCCGAGCAGGGAGCCCACAAGCAGCAGGTCAGCCAGCTCGTCGCCCCATTCCTAAGGGTCCAGATGAGCATGGCTACCACGGAGCTGTATGATGGGAGCCAGCCCGGGGTCCGATCGCTCTTTGAAACTCTCACGCGGCGCTGCGAGGGGGAGGAGGAGAGCGGGAGGGACACTTTGGATTCCCTTGTTGACATAATCCAGCAGCTGAAGGCTAGGAAGACCTCCCTGGAGGAATCCTGCAGAGACGCGCAGAGTCTGCACGGTGAGCTCCTGTGCAGGAACAGGCAGCTCAAGGAAAGCATGTCGCTTCCTCGCACGAAGTTCGTCTTTCAAGAGAAGCAGATAGGAGAATCGTGCAAGATGAAGCAGCCCGAGTATCATCTCAAGACGCTGAGTGATGGAAGAACCGTCAAGGTGTATCATTCCCCGTTGCGGGCAGAGACGAGCAGAGATCGACTGGTCACATTGAGACAGCACATACTCAACGGCAGGACAGCGATAGATGTTAATGTTGACAAATTCAAGCAAACGACCAGGTCACAGGAGCCCAAGGGGGAGATGAAAGGCAGCGAATACCCCAAGTTGAAGAAGCGACTCGTCCCGAAAGACAAGTCCAGCGATGATGACAGGGCCACAGAAATGCTGGATGCTGTCAATTCGCCCGGGGGTGGCGATGGAGCCGTTGCGGATGACTCTGACTTCTTTCCCCTCCCAGCAGAATCCTTGGGGGATCGGATCCGAAGGAGGGTCTTCCACGAGGCTTCCTCCTCCTACAAGACGATCGAGGGAAAGATCGTCGGAGTTCTGCCATCGAAACTCTCCGGATTTCGTGATTCCCACACGGGAAAGCCAGCAGCTCTATGGAGGATTCGATACGATGAGGGGGAGCTGGCGGAAGACCTCGAGTTCCGGGAGGTCTTGGAAGGGATCATGGCGTATAGATTAGCGTCGTCGCCTTCGTCTGTGAAGGAGTTCATCGACAAGAAGATTCTCAGTGATGCGGATGACTCCGAAAAGCACGAGTGGGTTGGTATGAGGGTGCGGCGGGCTGTGTTGGATGAGAATGAGAAGCCGCTGGGTTTTGCGGACGGTACCATCAAGCAATGCATCTCGTACTCCGACACTTCCGCAGACAGTCAGGGCGCCAGGATGTTCCGAGTCGTTTACGACATTCCTGAGATCGGGTGCGAAGATTTGAAGGAGGAAGAGGCGAAGCAGGCGATCGAAGCTTTTCTGAAGTTGCCTGACGCGAGGGCGGATAGTTTTGCTCACAACGGTGACCTGTATGTGGGTCGAAGGATCAGAAGGAAAGGGTTTGTCAAGCTCGGAGTGGATCAGGGGCAGGCTGACGGCTACGTGGCTGAGTGGCTGCAGAGCGACTTCTGTCGTCTTGGGAAGCGGAAGAAATGCTCTTCATGCTTGTGGAAAGTCGTTTACGACCGGAAAGAGCTGGAGTTTGACTACCTCAACGAGTTCCAGGTGAAGGAGGCCATCATGATCCACGAGCTGGCGGAGGGGAAGCGGCCGGAGGACGGGACGGAGGACTGGTTCACGTTTGGATGCAAGCACATCGGGAAGAGGGTGCGGAGGATAGTGGTGCTCGAGGGAAAGGAGAAGGCTCGCAAGGTCGACGGGACTGTACGAGGCTGGCTGCCTGCCACAGTCTCAAACTACTTCCGCAACGACGACCCGAGCGACCCCCGAGCGCTGTGGAGGGTAAAGTACGACGACGAGGTAAGTCGGGCAGCGCTGACCTTTGCTGCTCGTCACTTTGAGAGCTGCAGGATATCGGGGAGGAAGACCTCGAGCTGTCCGAGCTGGAGGAAGCGATCGAGGTGTACCATACCGACACCATCGTGAAGCCCAACGGCCAAGAGAAAGAGGAGGAGCGCGCAGATCTGACTGGTCAGAGAGTGAGGAAGTTCTTCGCTACCTCGCACGGAGAGCAATCGGTGGATGGGATCGTCGCTGGACCGGTAAGGAAGGAAGCGAAGCCGACGGACTTCGGGGGGGAGGGAAGGAGCAAGTCTCCCTTGTGGACGGTCAAGTACGAGGACGGGTTCGGAACAGAACACCTCGAGGAGTCACAGGTCAAAGTCACGAAGCCGATCGCTCTGCCAGTTTCTGATCGCAATGCAGGTGCTGAAGGCTGTTGAGCTTTTCAACCAGAAGGATGCAACTGCAAAGGTTGAAGAGAATGCAGAGGATGCAGAAAAGCAGGAAGCAGGTGGTGGGAGACAGGAGTTAATCAGGACTGATGATGATTGTAGCTGAAGATAGCGATACGCACGAGTGGTATACAACAGGGAGCAGGTTTCTTCCTTCTTCATCACTCTTGGCCTTCCCTTCCCTCTTCCTGCTCCTGCTCCTGCTCCTGCTCCTGCTCCTCCTCCTGCTCCTGCTCCTGCTCCTGCTCCTGCTCCTCCTCCTCCTCCTCCTCCTCCTCCTCCTCCCTCCACTGACAGAGATGGTCATCAGCTATATCGGGAAGATGATTCGCCGGTCGGTGACGGACTCCGAGGGCAACAACCCCATGGAGTGCAACGCAGAGGTCATCGCATGGCTTCCGGCGAGCGAGTCAAACTTCTTCATGTGAGACAGCAGACAAGACCTGCCAGTAGGACCTGACCTGATCCCTCAGCGACGATGACGTCACCAAGCCTGCGGCCCTGTGGAGAGTGCGATTCCAGGAGCTCGGGTGTGCAGACTTGGAGGAGCACGAGGTATGGGTTGCCCTAGCCTCGCATTTCTTGACGCCTTTCCTGCAGATCCTTGAGGGGTTGGAGCTGTACGATCAAAATCAAGAGCAAGAAGTGAAGCAGGACAAGGAAGAGATGGCCAGTAACGACAGTCCAGAGAAAGGGAGCGATCGGGAGGAGGGAAGCGATAGCGAGAAAGAAGGGAACGACCAGGAGACGAGGAAGAGTCGACGTCAAGCGAAAAGGAAGAGCAGCCTGAGCAACGGAGAGGGAGCGAGCAAGGCTGAGGGAGCCAAGAGACTTAAGTCCGACTCAAGTAGCAATGTACAGTAAAGACAACATGTAAGCTCACGTGACGAACTCAGTAAACTTGACTCAGTGACTCGAAACATGGGCCCGGCCCCCCGGCCCCCCGGCCCCCCGGACTTTGGTAGCCAGTCTGGTAGCGGTCAGATGTAACCGTTAGAAAACTGAAAAATCAACTTGAACGATATGGCGTGTTGAGACTTTGAAGCTCTCAGATTTGAAATATTTATAAACATATTTGAAAATTGATTCAAATCTTGAAACCAGCATGTCAAAATTGGGGCCTCCAGGCATGGTGGGGAAGGACGCTGCTAAAGAAGCGAATGACGAGCTTCGGAGGTAACGGGGAGGACGAGAGAGTGTATGTGGATGGAGGAGGAGGAGGAGGAGGAAGAAGAAGAGGAAGAGATAAAGCATGCTCAAGAGAGACATTCAGAGTTCATAACAGACCTCACGTCGACTACCAATCCTGTTACCCCACCATTGATTCAAATTTTGGTCCTGGCATGGCTGCGTTTGTGCATGATGTTTGTCATGCACAACAGATCTGTCGGAAGTCAGACGACATGTCTACATGGGATATGTCCTGATGACATGTCTACATGGGATATGTCCTGACGATCCTATGACCTGCTTGTTACAGGTATCTGTCGGTCGCGTTAGATCAGCTGGAGGATTGTAAGAAGAATCTGGCTACTACAACCAAGATCAAGAACAAGCTGTTGGCAGATCTGAACAAGTGCAGGAATGATCTCATGGATGCTCAGTCCAGGGCAGAGAAGCTGCAAGAGCAGAACAACGAGGCTCAACGAAAGCTTACAACCATGCACGCCTATATGCTGAAGTTGGAGAAGGTGTCAGCATTGCTAGGATGTAAACTTGCTCATGAGTGCCCTGCGCAGGCCAACGATGAGATGTTCACTGCATTGAAGGAGACTGAGAAAAACTTTCCGATCGAGGTTTCAGCGGGAAAGGGGGAGCTTGATAGTGCACAACGGATGAAGGACCCCCCGCCTGTGCGTGCGAGCAGCAGCGAAGTTTTACCGACGATTGTGGAGGAAGGCCATGAAACTGATGAGAGCGAAGGGAAGGAAGAGGAGGAGGGAGGAGGAGGCAAGAGCCTGCAGCATGTGGCCAAGTTGAAGCGAGTCTTGAGAGAGTCGAGAGATCGAGAGCTTGAGCTCTTTCAGAAGAATCAGACTGCCCTGTCGGCGTGCCGGCAGATGATGTCGGACCTCAGGCTGTGGGTAGACGCGTTCCGAGGAAAGAGCCACCTGATACAGGTTGTTCCACTCGTTCTCCTGCTCGATCTTGTTGACTTGAAGGAATTCAAGGGGGAGAGGGTGGAGGGAGCGATGGACAGGGCTGGGGATTTTGAGCACGTCAAATCCTCGTTTGCTGCCCTTTGTGACGCGATTGGGGGGAGTTTGGATGAAGTCTGCAATGCTGTTCATGCCGTTGAAGACTCTTTGACTCGTCCAACCCCCGAGAATCATGAGAAAGGGTAACGATGATACTAGTGCTCGTGATTGAATGATGATGACTTGCTTGTTAGTGATGCCACTTCTTTGATCAGTCAGTTGACATGAAACCTTATAACACTGTCCTTGCAGTCTCAATCAAATGGTGGTTGCGAGGACTGGCAAATCAACAGCCCCATCAGAACAAGTACCAGTGTTTATCTCAGCCCTCTCAGATTCCATCGCTTACCTCTCAACAAGACACGATGGTTGTTCCTTCATCCTGCCAACAACAACACCCTGACTCCTGCATCTCAAGAAATCTTCCGAGACATGCTCAGCAGAAATTCCCTGCAGGGACGAAGCGTGGTACACCATCAGTCCAAGATCCACAAGGTCGTTGCAGACGATAATCGCCCTTCGCTCTCCTCTCCTCACGTCTACCAGCAGGCTCGCGTCTTCTTTGCGTGGAGAGACTTCAAGTCTTCCCTTCGGCTCTCTGCAGAAAGACTTGAGATGAGGCTGACCTGCAAGCCTTGCCGGCTCTACTTCTCCAGGTGAACATGCTCTCTCCGCCCTCGCACCCTCAGCCGGTTGCCGTCAGGTGGCAGACGTCGGTCGATCTCGTCAAGGAGCGCCAGGCCGTCTTCTCGTCTGTTGACTTGCAGAGAGCCTTCACCGGCTGGCGATGCTGGGAAGAGGCGCGGGCAAGCTCTCCCCTCCGGTGGGTCTGGATGCTGCTGAGCAAGCAAGTCTCCATCCTCCATCACCGCAAGACTTGCGTGCAGACTCGCCTATATTATCGGCTATTGAGGACTGAGAATGAGATGCTGTCCAAGTTGCAGCTCAACAAGTCCAAGTTCTGCTTCGACAAGTGGCTGGCAACTGTCAGCAGGAAGCAGGTCATGCTTGCAGCTATCTGTCTGAGGATGATGGTGGTGGAGCAGGTTGGGAGGAGGGCGGAGCAGGTGCGGGCGGGGCAAGCGATCATGATCGTGTTCGGCCGATGGAGGAAAGTCGCCAACGTGATGGCGAGGAGCAGGGGGAGAGTCACGAGAGAAGAGGAGGAGAAGATTGCGAGAGCCAAGGTTGCTTTCTCGTTTCCTTGACCTCCTTCTTGAAGTTTTGACGTCCGAGGCTGTCAGGCCGCCGTCGTGAGCTCCTGGAGTTTCGTCACTCAGCTGCATGCGGCGCAGAGGCAGATGGATGAGTTGTGGCTCCTCTCCTCCCGCTCCTTCCGAAGGAACGGCGTCCTCCTCCTCCTCGTCCTGCAGAGCTGGGCTCGCTGGTCCCGTCAGTCCTTCATGCTCGCTGAGTGGGAAGAGGAGGCGACGAGGATGCAGGAGACGAGGAGGAGGAGGACTGGGCAGGAGACTGTCCGCAGGTGGTTTGAACTGTCTATGATCTCCCGTGCGGCTTCCAAGATGCTGGCGAGAAATCTGCGAGCCATGGCAGCAGAGCATGTGCTTGCATGGAGCGCCTGGGTGACAAAGAGCAAGTCGGCGAGGTAGACGCTTCGCTCTTCCTCTTTGTATGCTTTCAACCAATCCTCCCTCCTCCCTCCTCCCTCCTCCCTCCTTCCCCCTCCCCCTTCCCTCATTCTTTCCTGCCTTCCTGCTTTCTTGACCCCCGATCAGTTCAGTTCGCTTCCTTCCCCCTCCTTCTCTCCCCATGCTCTTTTTGTTTTCTCTTCTCACGAACCTTCAGATCTTATACTTCGTTTCGTACCCGCCGCTCCCTCCGAGTTAGGATGGCGAGGTGGACGAGGTACAAGACGGTGATGAAGAAGCTGAGGAGGAGGAGAGTCTTCCTAGCCAGCAGCAGAGACATCAGCACGCAGCACCTCGTACTGTGTGCATGGAGGAAGCAGGTGGAGGAGGCGTCGTGGAAGGCCTCGTCGCTGCTGTTCGCATCCTCAGTTCACCGAAGGCTCCTCTGCTCCCGCTGCTTCCTCCTCTGGTCCTCCCAGCTCCTCTTCCACCTCAAGGCTCTCCTCCGGCTGCAGACTTGGTGGGCTGAGCACAAGCTGCTGCCGGAGAAGAGCGCCAGGGAGGGAGAGAAGGAGGAGGGAGAGAGCACGATCCTGTCCGGCAACACAACGGCAGGCAAGTGGATCAAGTCCATGAGGGCACAGCAGGGGAAGCTCTCCCGAGCAGGAGGAGAGGAGGCAGAGGCTAGCAGGGAAGGAGGAGGAGGAGGAGGAGGCAAGAGACAGGAGCGCGCTATCCTCAAGTCTCTCCTCATTGGCTCCTTCACCCGCTGGGCGGACATCTCCTTCCTCCGCGTTCACCGGCAGGCGCAGATGCTCCTGTCCTTCTGCCGCGGCAACTTCGCGGACAGGGAGAAGACGATGAGGACCGCTTTCCGCTCGTTCCTGCAGGACTCCAGCATGCGCTCTGTGGCCTCTGTCTGGTCCCCTCCTGACCGGGGGTTCTCCCTGCTCCGCGAGGCTCCTCTTGACCTCTCCTACGACATGGTCCCGCAGTCAGCCCGGGGGCAGGCGGAGGAGGCGAGGGGTGGCGAGGTCCTGTTGGACAAGGAGCTCCTGGAGCTCGAGAGCGACTGCTCGAAGCTGCAGAAGATGCTATCTTCTGAGCCAGCCGTGCCCAGCAGGACGAGGACGACTGAAGAGCTGCCTGCTCCCGCTCCTCCTCCTCCTCCTCCTGCTACGATGCCTTCTCCTCCTCCTTCTCCTCCTGGTGCTCAAGATGGGAGGCTGAGGGACACAGAGGTGGAGCAGGTCATCTCGACGCCGCGAGGAGGAGAGGATCAGCGGCTCTCTCGTCTGGTGAGGATCGCCAACGAAGTTTCTCCTCCCCCCGGGGCCTCGAGGCAGTCAAAATCGCCAGCATGGGAGCTCGCGATCGAGGAAGAGATCGCAGCACACAGGAGAACGGCGATGCTGAGCGACAAGAAGGGCTCGAGGCTGACGGAAGTGGCCGAGGAAGCGAAGGAGGCGTCAGAAGGTGGGAGGTCGTCTTTGGCCAGGGCAGGACGAGCAGAGCAGGGAGAACATGGTGGAGCAGGTGGTGTCTGTGGAGGGGAGAGAGGAGGAGAAGGTGGTGTAGGGGGGAAGCTGGAGGAGGCAGTGGTGCAGGAGGTTCAAGCACTCGAGGTCGAGCTCCGCAGCCTCTCCAAGGAACTCTTCACTCTCGTCCTCCCGATAGCTTCCTCCTCCTCCAAAGCTTTCTTCATGCGTGAAGTCGCATGCTCCCGCATCGACTCCTTCCTCTCTCGGCAGGGTAACTCGCATGCTTCTGCTCCTCTCTACTTCTTCCTGTCCCCCTCCCCCGCCAACATGCCAACCTTCCTCCCTCCTCTTCCTCCCTCCCTCCTCTCCCTCGCGTTCCTCCCTCCCTCCCTCCCTCCTCCCCTCGCGTTCCTCCCTCCCTCCTCTTCCTCCCTCCCTCCCTCCCCCCCTCGCGTTCCTCCCTCCCTCCTCTTCCTCGCGTTCCTCCCTCCCTTCTCTTCCTCCCTCCCTCCTCTCCCTCGCGTTCCTCCCTCCCTCCTCTTCCTCCCTCCCTCCTCTCCCTCGCGTTCCTCCCTCCCTCCTCTTCTCCCCCTTCCCTCACTCGTGCCTGCAGGGGGCATGTTCCACCGCCTCCTCCTCGAGCTCGGCTTCGCTCTCTGGCGGATCTTCGTCCTCACCTCCGACACCTCCAACAGGGTCCGGGTCCTCTTCTCCCGCGAGCTTTCTCCCTCACTTTCCCTTCATCGCTCCTCTCCGCTCGCCGGCAGGAACCTCCTGGTCCCTCGCGTCAGCTTCGGGGCCTTGGACGAGGGCAGGAGAGTGAGTGGAGGAAGCATCGCATGGGAGGACACTCGAGAGCCGACGCCGAGGAACGGATGAGATGAAGGAAGAGCAGGAGGAGCAGGAGGAGGCTGGCAGGAGTGGGCAAGGGAGGAGGAGGGGCAAGGAGGAGGGCAGAGGTAGTGCGAGTCGGTTGTTGTGGTAATGTACAGTAGCTCATGTCTTGATATCTTCGCTCCTATCCCTGTCCATGGTGGCGGAGAAGGTTTCCTCCTTGAGCGGTCGGTTCAACGAAGAGCTTATCTTCATTCTCCCCGCCCCCAGGCTCTCCTCCCGTATGACCCGGGGCGGCATCGTCGAGCTCTTGGGGTCCGCCTCAGGTTTCGTTTGTCGTGCAGCCTACGCTCGGGTCAGATGATGCGGATGAGGGAAAGAGCAGGAGGGAGGGGAACGGACAGAGGAGGGAGGAGGGAGGTAGCAGTGGGCGGAGCAGCACAAGGGAGTACAAGTTGTGATGAATGAGGGAGAAGGAGGAGGGAGGAGAAGGAAGAGGGAGGAGAAAGAGGAGGGAGAAGGCAAGACGAAGGGGCTTGCCTGTATACGGACTTCCGCGAGCTCTTCAATGATCCTCGCTTTCTCCTCCTCCAGCTGGCTGACTTTGAAGATCAGCTCGCCGATCTTACGGGCCTTGACCTTGGTCTCTTCCTCCTTCTCGTTGAGTTTGATCTCCACCTGGTCCTTATCCATCTCCGTCTCCCTCACCTTAGTAATGAGGGACAGAACCTGACATCCTCTCTTCAGCGCTCCTCTCTCCTCCCCCTCCTCTTCTCCCCTCCTCCACTTCCTCCTCCTCCTCTTCCCCCGTTCTTCACTTCCTCCTCCCTCCTCCCCCTCCTCTTCTCCCTCCTCCCCTTGCTCCTCCCTTCTCTTCGCCGCCTCCCTCCCCCTCCTCACCTGCCCCTCAAGGTCTCTCAGCCTCTCGCTCTTCTTCTTCTTTTTCTTTGTCTCCTTCTCAGCATCAAGCGAGCTCTGCCACTTTCTCAGTCAACTGCAGGAGGAGACCGAAGGGGAGGAGAGGGAGGGAGGGAGGGAAGGGCAGAGAAGAAGGAGGGAACGGAGGAGATAGGAGGAGGAGGAGGCAGGGAAGGCGGAGGAGATGGGGGGAAGAGGAGGAGAAGGCGGAGGGAGGAGGAGGAGGAGGAGGAGGAGGAGGAGACCTGTAAAGCAGTGATCTGCCGATCCTTCTCCACCAGCTGCTCAGCTAGCGCAATGACCTTCTCCTGCGCGTTCGTCTTCGTCTTCTCCTCTCCCGTCAGCTTCGCCTGCAGCTGTGCCACCTTCGCCTTCAGCCCCTCCAAGCTCTCCTCCTCCGCCTCCATCCTCGCCGAAGCCCTCACCTGCTCCTGCAAGTCACCGAACGAAGAGGAGGAAGAGGAGAAAGAAAGGAGGAGGAGGAGGTTGATGAGGAGGTGGAGGTGGTGGTAGAGGAGGGAAGGTGTGATTTCTTGCACACACTTGCTCCCCAGTTGTCGTCGACATCTCAGCCGCGGCTCCGCTCCAGTTTCCTCCTCCCGGCTGTGCGCTCTGAGAGCGCTTCTGGTCTTCGGCGGAGGGAGGAGGGCGAGAAAACAGGCCGGGCGTGACGCTCCTGCTCTGCGTGCGGATCTTCTTCTTCCTGCCCTGGGAGGACGCGGAGGAGTCGCCGAGGAACGCAGAAAGCTCCTCCTCAGTGTTGAGATCAGAGGAGAACTGCAACTTCCCCAAGTCGATCCGGTGGATCGTGGCGTACAGCTCGAGCTTGTCCTTGAGTTCCTGCACATCAAGGAGTGTCTCTTAGCTGGGAAAGATTCCCTTCCTCCTCCCCTCCCCGCCCTCCGGCCTCAGTCCCACCGTCCTCATCCTCTCCTCTTCCTCGATCCCTCTCTTACCCTGCTCTTCCTCTCTGCATCCCTGAGCTTGTTCTCAGCCGCCATCTTCTGCTCGTCAAGGGCGTTGATCTGCCCCAGCAACTCCAGGTTTCTCCTCCTCAACGACGCGACCTGCTCGTTCATTCAGCTCCTCCCGCTCTTCCTACGTCCTCCTGCTCTTTCCTCCCCCGCCCGGAAACCACCACGCTCTCCATGCCAACCCCATCCTCTCTGCTTCCCTCTTCCTCTCATCTATCCCACCACCCCCTCTGTCCCCCCTTCCCTCTGCCCTCCTCCACCTCATTGTCGGCCGATCGGTTATGCAGCCTCTCCGCTATCCTCAGGTCCAGCTCTCCCTGCAGCTTCTGCGTGCTCTTGACATTGAGGTCGAACAAGTTGCGGGTCCTGTTTTCCAGCAGCCTCCGCTCGCTCTCCGACTTCTTCTCCAGCAGCTCCTTCTCCTTCTTCAGCTCATCAACCTTGGCGGACAGAGTCTTGTTGGACACTCTCAACTCGGTGATCTCGATCCTGTTCTTCCGCAGCATGTCCGCATGGTTCTCGTGGTCCTTGCTCTGCTTCAGCTTCTCCTGCAGCTCCCTGTTCTGCTTGTCCAGCTCCTCGACCCTCTTGACGACTCTCTTCACCTCCTCAGGCATCTGAAGGCCAAGGAGAGGAAGGGAGGGCAAGTCAGCTGCCAATCGGAGGAGCGACAATTTTGGACAGTGGGCAAGGGCACACGCTAAGAATGGGGGGTTGACGTAGATAAAGGAACTGAACAGGAAAGGGAAGCGGAGTGAAGTAACGAAAGGAGAGTGGAGCAGGACTGGATGGGAGCAGGGAGAAGGGAAGAGGGGAGCGAGGGAGAAGAGGGAGGAAGAGGGGAGGAGGGAAGGGAGCAAGCACCTGGAGCTGTAAATTCCTCTTGAGCACTCTCTCTGCGCTCTGATGCTTGTCGAGGTCCTGCTGAAGGTTCGAGCAACGGAGCTGCGCGTCCTGGTAGCGCCTCTGCAGCTCGTCGAACTGGGCATGCATGCTGTCCCTCTCCTCCGCCAACCTCTGCAGCTGCATCGTCATCTTGTCCATCGACTCCTTCGTCTTTGCCATCTCCACGTCCTTCTTCCTCAGCCTGCACAGGACGCGCACGTCTGAGCTCCCGCCCCCCCTCACTGCAGCGAGTCACCTGTCAACCAGCTTCAACCTCTCGTTCTCTTCCATCCTTGTCTTGTGCTGTGCAACATTTCTCAGCAAACAGAAACAGCCTCTCCTCCTCCTCCTTCCCCTCCTCCTCCCTCTCACCTGCACGGCCAGCAGCTCCTCTTTAAGACTCTTGATCTCCGTCTCCTTCTTCTTGAGCAGTTCCCCCCCCTCCTGGCTCGTCGAGTCGAGCAGCGCGAGCTTGTCCTGTAGCTCCAGCACCCTCGTGTTCTGCATCCTCAGGTTCTCCTTGAGCGCGTTCACTTGCTCTAGGGCTGACAGCTTCAAGGCCTCTTCCTCCACGATCCTGCCTTCCAGTTCCGCGATCGTCTCGCTCACTTCCGACGTCTGCCGCCCCCCATCCTTGCTCGAGCTCTGCTGCTTCACCGTCTTCGCTACCTGGTCCAGGTCCGACTGCACACAGCTCTGCAGCACCTTCACTGCCTCCTTCCCTATCGCCTGCTCCAGCACCTGCCAACATTCCTCACACCTCCCAGCTCAGCAGGGGGAGGGAGTACCGAGAGTCTCAGCGCGAGCTCCTCCGACATCGTCACCTTGGCACCGCCCACGACCGTTGGGGCGCTTGCTACCGAGCTGGTGTCCAGCTCAGTCATGAAGGTACCTGCAGATTTTCGTCCCTGCTCAGCACGCGAGAACCTCTCTTCCTCAGTTGAGCTCACCGGAGCTGAAATCTTCTCTATGGTGAGCATGATCGTCACCCCAGTCAGAAGCGTTCCTCAGCTTCCTTGCCGCAACATCCCTGGCGATGGCGACATCCATCAGTCGAGCCAGCCAATAGATCACAAGAGAGTTACTTGTTCACTATCCCCCCGACGTCGATCAGCGGCGACCCTGTTGAGTCGCCCAGCAGCCTGTTCGCCTCTCGGAGGGTCTGTTCGAGGATGGCACTGTCCTCCTGTGAGTCCAAGACAAGATCAGAGGACATGTCAGCGCAACCAGCCATAACGTCGTAAAAGGTCAGACCTGCAGATTCTGCTTCAGCTCGGCTATGTTCCAGTTCGACATCTCCTCCTTGCCAGCGTTGGCAGACAGTCGCTTGTCGAGCGGCGTCTTCGTGTTCGCTCTCGGCGGCATCTTGCCCCTTGCCCGTCAATCAAAAGTCGTCTCCTACAACACACCCGATGCACCCTCCCGTTCCCGTCTCTTCGGACTCCACCCCTGCGTGCTTCTATCGGACCACCACACTCATGCTGCAAGGCAGAGCTCTTCGACCCAAGGTTGCTGGTAGATCCTCACCCGCCGCTCCTCGCAGTGCCCAGTCTCCACCTAGAATGCATGCTCGCCGCCGTGCCTGCTCCGACTTTCCCCCCGCCAGCTCGAAGCCAGACAAGTCACTCTGCTCTACCCTCTAGGCTGTCCGGCAGTCCTAACTGCGAGCAGGATGCCTTGACTCTGTTCTTGTGCTCTGACTCCAAGGCTCTTGCTAGGCCTGACTTGCTGCTCGTCTCCTCTCCCTCCTCGCTCGCCCCCTCCTGTTTCACTACCCCTCCTGTTCAACCGCAAGTGATTTCCGTTGGGCGAATCAACAATAAAAGGGGAAGAATCCGGAATATAAGCTTCAAAATATTTATTGGTATCAATAAACTTGAAGAGCATGGCAAAATCAATTTCAATAAAATCCCACCCAGATATAGCAGAAAAATTGTGTCCCAAGTGCAATGACGGAGGGGAGCATGGGTCGGGCGAGGAGAGGGTAGGCGGGAGAAGGAAGAAGGACGGTTGGTAGCGTCTAGCTACTCGTTTCCTCTCCCTCCACAACTCCTCCTGATTGGTTGAAAAGGAAGGCGAGCAGGCACAAGACCCCCACCTTGAGCCATGCAGAGATCTTGAGGGGGATGGCGAGGTAGGTAAGAACACTCATGAGCGCGGTGGCAGGCGCTGCCTGCATGAAGAGCATCGCGATGGTTGCCAGAAGCTTTGCAGCTACGACGACGAAGATGGCAAGACCGATCTTCTTGCCTGGGACAGGAGCCGGGGCAGCCACTAGGGACCGCCATAGAGTTGCTTGACTTGATTCGTCCCCTACTCGCTGGAAGACGAATCGACTCCCGCTAGTTGCTCCTCTCCCCAGACGAATCTTGTCGTCAACGTATGTCGTGTCGAGGAAGACATCAGTCGAAGGCCCGACGCTCAGCTTGAGAAACCTTTGCAGTGGGGCAGGGCCAAACGCGATGAGGGGAGAGGAGAAGTCGACGCGGACTGTGTTCTGCGTTGGTTGAGGATGGTCGTCTTCTCCTTGCCAGTCACTCCCCAGTCTCTGAGCTCGCCCTGTCTCAACCGCTCTCTTCCTAATCGCAACACGCTGCTCCTCGTTCAGCTCTGTCACAATACCCACCAACACCACTGAGATTGAAAGGATTTGTAGAAATTTGGCACAGACGAGGTTGACAGCAACGATCTCAGTGTCTTGCATATCGGAGCTGGCCCGTATTCCTATGCCGCTGTTTATGTTAGGATTGCGCTCATTTTGCTTCCTTGTCACCGACTGCTTCAGCCCATTCTGAACGTAACGAGGGATTTCATCCCTTGGCATTCTCACGAGGTTCTGATACAAACCAGTCGTCTCAAAGATAGATCTTCCCAGTTTCCCCCTCCAGTACCCCCCTGCTTGACTTGACACCGTCTGATTCACTTCATTTGTAGCTCGTTTCTCCCCCACGAATCCTACTTCGTAGTTTCCCAAAGCAAGGTCCGTCTTGACGTAGTCTTCATTTCTAGAGTTCCTTTCGAGGAAATCCAGTTTCTCATAAAGAGATCTTCGCTTCGGCAGGGGAAGGGCCTCTGCGTCTGCTCCACGGTCCGTCCCATTGATCAGCTGCAGTACTTCGCTCACCATCGCACCGGCTTCACTCCTTGCCACCGCTGGTCGCACCAGCAATGGCTGTCGAAACTCTGCGAGACGACGTCCAACTTTTGCAGACATCAAGGCGGGAGGAGGGAGCAGGAAGCTCCAGCATGCCGGTGCCATGCACAGCAGGAGCAGCCCCGCCATCGCCGGTCTTCGTGTCCCCAGCATTGGAGAGAGGGCCAAGCTCCGTCCCACATCCCCACCACAACCCAAGCGGTCGGTCGGCCGCAGTGAGTGCGCGGCCGCCGCCCTGCGGCTGCACACGGTCTGTGGCGTGATCGGACGGGCCCGCCCTCTCACAGTCGCCGGGCCCGGCCCACTGATCTTTAACTTAACTTTGAGTAAAGAACACAGACATGGCTTTGTGCATTTCGACACTTATTGCTAAAGGAATGATGAAAAACATTTACTATCACATGAGACAGCGGCAACGCCTCTTTTCTACTTAGAGCTGGTTTCCTCCTGGTCCTTCTCCTCCTCTCTCTTCGATTCGTCCTTCTGTGCGGAAGGCACTGACAACCACGAGTTGTTCTCCCCGATAATGGCTGTTTCAACCTGCATGACCAAAGTGGTGATGTTCTCCAGAGACGCTTTCTCCACCGCCGTCATGCTCTCGTACCACGTGACGATGTTCACTAGGTTCATCAGGGACTTGTTGTATCTCTCCAGCTTCTGCCTCGTTCCATGAAACTCCATCCAGGACACCACGCAAGCAGAGAAGGAAACTATGATGGCGGCCACTTGCGGCATGTCGAAGGAGGCGAGGATGGCTGCGCACGCCGAGCTGAGGATGATGAGGAGCTGGTAGATGTTATACTGGTTCCTGTAGGAAGGCAGCCTCTTGCGGTAGAACGCTATCATCTCCTGGACTCTGAGGTCGATGAACAGCTGGGGGGTAACAGGGCTCTGGTGGTTGTCTTGGCTGTTCCCCTCCGGCATCAGCACGTTGGACGGGCGCTTCTTCCTCCTCCTCGTTGCTTCCCTCTGCCCGTGCATGAAGATGCCAGGGCTGTACTCCCGCATGAAGGCCGTCTCTGTCACGTCAGCAGAAGTTAAGATTTCGTTCCTCAAGGACAGGAGCCGGGCGCGCAGCGCCATCTCAGCAGCATCGACTACCCCAGGCGTCATGGCAAACGGCCCGACCCTCGCCCTGTACATCCAGATCGTGCTCTCGATCCTCGACGCGATGTTGCGGAGGGAGCGCCAGCGGGTCACCGGGTTGAGGTAGGCCATGAAGGAGCCGATCACCGAAGCACTCAAGGATAGCAGGAAGATGGCAACCTTGGTCCTCCCCTCGTGCTGGCACTCGCTGTACCCGATGCACTGATCCACTTTTTCCTTCATGACCGTCACGGCTGTCGACGCAACGGCGATGATGAGCAAGAGGAAGTACCCGACCTTGGCAACCCACTTGTACTTGATGGAGATGTAGGTGCAGATGTCGATGGTGTCCCACGCCTGTCTGAGGATCATGAGACCTTCCATGCTGTTCTCTAGAGGAATCCTCTCCATCCGGATCAGCTTTTGAATCAGCAGCCTAAGGCCCGAAAAGTCTGAGACATTGCGACCGTAGAAGTTCCCGTTGACAAGCATCTCGCGGATGATGGAATGATAGGTTGTTCTCATCTCCCGGTAGAACACCTTGAGTTTACCGTAGTCGTCGAAGTGAGGCTTGTAGCCCAACTTCTGCATGATCTGCTCTCTTTGCCAGAAGTTTTGACACAGCTCGTCGGTAAGAAAGTCAGCGATGGACAGAATGTCGTGAAGACGGTCGCCATCCCCGACCTTTCCCTTCTTCCCTTCCGTCACTCTCCTTGTGATGGCCTCATGAATGCATTCCGACGTCCTATCAATCGAGACCGCATCTTTGACATCTGCCCCATCATAGCCAGAGACTATGCTCTGCAGCCAAGCAAGGTTGCAGTTGTCGTAAGGGTCATTCTGATTCATCTCCATCAGACCTGTTCGATACTGCACGATGTGCTCCATTGCCCTGTGCAGCCTCTCACCTCTGGTTGCCTCCGCCACCAACGGTCGTTCTCTGAGATCAAGAAACACCATCGGCGTCCCAGAGTTAAGGATGTCAGTGCAAACCTGGTTTGTGACAACCGCGTTGCTCCTTGTTGTTCGGAAGCAGATGCATGGCAAAGACTCTGTGAAGTGACCAAGTATCATGTTCTCCAGAGTAGACGACGGAGTGGTGTCTTCAACATCCTCGATATTCCCCTTGTTATCGATCTTGATGGCATCAAACAGGATGTAGTCGTCGAAATCTGACACGATGTCCTGCTTGAGCCAGTTGCTCTTGTCTCCCCATCGCGATTGGAGGAACCGCTCGATGACGTCCTGCTTCTTCGCCCAGAAATTCGACGCATTGGAGAGGTCATTGGCCATCGTCCCTTCTGTCTCGGTGCTGAGGTGGAAGCAGAAATGATAGCCGAACCCTATCGTAGTGAACGGTTTCTCGCTCCCCCACGAAGCCTTCTGCAGGTTCACCGCACGCGAGAACGCCGCAGACATCACGTCCCAGTCCGAACATCCTGCTAACACGATCGCGTTTGTCTGAGCACACAGGGGAACGAGCACATCCCTGAAGAACTGGCACAGCCGGTTCTCTCCCTGCTCAATCTCGTCTTCCGTGTAAGTAGGACCGGGTGGACTCCACAAATAATTATCATACATGAAGTCGTCACGGATATCGTGATTCCCTTTCATCACTACCTCATGCTCCGTGCGATATCTCTTCAACTGATTGATGCCGAGCTCCGAATGCACAAGTTTGATCACCAGCTTTGGCTTGTGCGGGATCTCAAAGGCATCCAGCAGTTTCTGCACTGACTTCTTGTTGAAGAGTGAAGCTTGTCTGTTCGTCAATAGCAACAACCTCTTCTTCACCGCACCCACTGTCACCTCCTCAATAAGATTGTACATCGTTCTTGCTTTGATTTCTTGTAGCTCGGCTTCATACTGTGCTGCTGTGGAATTCGGCCGATTCCCTTCCAAGGAGTCACCACAACACGCACGGCAATGATGCTTACCTTGTTCAACAAGCACTGCGTTGGACCGAATTCCATTCTCCTTTACCTCTTTCACTTCCTCCATGTTTTCTTCCATTCCCCTGCAAATTCTTGCGAAAGTCAGGAAAATTAACTTCGGATGATAACACAGCTCAACAGCCGTCAAACATGAAGAAACACATCTTGACCCATCCCGGCCCTTCAATTCTATCCGCACAGTAACCATTACAGCTGCTCCTCGTCCTCGCCATTGTCCTCGTCCTCGCCATCCTCCTCTCGTTTCTTTCTCAACTTCCTGCGTTCCGCTTTCATGGCTGAGTCGGAAGCGTTAAAACTCATTGGATTTTTCTATTGACTAAAAAAGGAAGGGCAAACCGGAGCAAAGGATGGGTGGGTAGTCTTCCCTATCCGTAGGGGTGCGTTTTACAGAGCACGACGGGGTAGGGGTCCCTGTGACTACTTTACTGAGGAACTTGGGGAGGCAATCCGTTACTCTGATCCCAGTGGGTCTCTCGGCTTCGCAAGATGTCTCAGGTGATCCGATGATCCGACTTGGGGCACTGCTGCAAACGGATGAGGAACGGGAAACCCTGATCGAAACGTTTCCCGCCACTGTGAACTCTGCGAAGCCGTACAAATATGAGGATGTGCAGCGTTTGACAGAGCAAGACAAGTCAGGTGAGCATTTATCTCTTTTTTTTTCATCGAATTTATCACGGGAAGAGATCCAAATGACGTGTTCCTGATGCAGGTTCGAATGATTCGCAGCCTTTGGCAACTTGTATGAGATTGATGAACGGGTGAAGACTTTGGCAAGTGCCCAACCAATATTACAAACCGGTATCCAGGAGTACGTAGACGTACCAGTAAGCCGCCCAGCATACAAAACTCTCGAGACACTGGCTGCATACTAAGGGGTTTTCGACACATCGCAGAACTGTCCCGATGTGAAAAGGTTGTGACATGAAATGGGCACAAACAAAGATAAGTTCAGGACTCGGGAGTCGATCAAGTCTAGGCAAAATATTGACATGGTTGGTCAGGATTCATGCACTTCACTTTGCCTCTATGGAGGCAAGGCTTACATGCACTTAACCGTTCATCGATTCATGAAGAGACGTTTGCACAAAGGATGACTGTACCTGCCCGCATAGATGACTGTAACGAATTGTTGTTGATCATGAATCACTATATCCATGCTCCGAATGGCATATTTGGATGATTTTTCCGTTTCGCTTCAAATCTTTCCTTTGTCATGATATTTCCACAACGCTTTCGATTGCACAAAAACCTAGTCAGAAATGAAAAAATGTGCAGATGATGCCTTTGCGTATCAATAAATGAGATGTTCATCGGATCAATCCTGTCTTGTTTTGTCACTGGCCCGGTTCGCAATGCTACCGTGCAACTGTAGAGTTCTTGTCGCAGTGCTCTACAGAGTAGTGCCTTGTTCAACAGAACAAGCACTCGATGATTGCAATCGAGTCGTAAACACTGTGAATCAATTAACAGAATTGCACATTCAGGTTATCACATCTTTATTAGAAGAGTTACAATCAGGGTACAAGCTCAACCGACCTCCCTGTAATCCTGAAGGCGTTCCATCTTTTGCCTGGCGAGGTTGTATCTGCGTTAACCAAGAAGCATGTGACATGTGGCCACATCATAAATGCTCTACGGCCAGGAATATCAGCGTCTTCAAAATCGCTCTCTTGTTTGGTGTGACATCAACTGCCTGATAGCGGCTAATCCGATGAACAGAATCTGATGCAAGTTCACACCAGTAATATTTACATGATGCATTAGTTAGTGTGATGAAATTGGTGATTTGCAAAATGTTTCATCGTTCCAACATATCCTTGAGAATTGGATGAAGAATCCTTCACGAACCACGGGACTTGCTTGTCATCTTTCGACAGTACTGAGGATCATCTTTGTGTTCAAGCATCGAGCTGCTCCGACCGTGACTGCTAAAATGCGTTGTATCTGTTCATTTAGAACTGTCCGTTGAGCTTTTCCTTCAGTTTTGCATGTTCTTCCATGCAGTGAGATGTAAAACTAGAAGAATTGAAAGTGAGTGATGACACGAGAACATATTGCTAGACAGAAAAGTCGCTCAAGGTACAGCTGGATACAAATTTCTCACAAATCATGCATTTAAGCGCAACGTGCAACCCACGGCAATTTGAACGAAGGGTCGATCAGAGTTGATTCTGTTCAATGGTGTATCCATTATTAGTTCCTTACCTGATCATAAAGATTTTATCATGTCTTCGAAGCATATTTGCAAGTACACCCGCGGATTGTATGAACCAAGGGCACATATTCCATTACTGGATGGATGATTCAAACCTTAGCCCAACCTGCAGAGTTGAGAAAGAAGCTCGATCATCTCCTACAGGTGTGATATGAGATCTTCATCCTGCCTCAGGCCCCCACCATGCATGAGGGGTACTCGACGGGCTTGAAAGTTTTTCCCTCCCCGGGGGAGGGGGGTATTTTTGATACCGTACTAGCTAGGGTGGGGGAGGATGCTGCGGGCAGCCAAGAAGCAGCGGCTGTTGAAGGCTGAGGAGGAGCTCGCGGTGATCAACGCGACTCCCGGGAGGAAGCAAGCGGAAGCTTCGGACCCCAGCACGTGCTTAAAGGACATGGTCTTCATGCTGCATTCCACCAAGAACTATCGCATCGACTTCGACGAGTGGTCCGGCAAGATCAAGTCTGCTGGAGGCGAGCTCTAGGTCTCCCCTTGTGCGAACCATGACAAGACCTGCAGGAAGCATCGTCAAGTCGATGACTAAGTCCGTCACTCACGTTCTGACCACCAGCGGCGCGCATACGGCGGGTGGCAGCGCGATCAAGGAGGTCTTGTTGCACTTTGCCACCTTGATCGGGTCTGATCTTGTGCTGAAACTCTGCAGGCGGTGAAGAGGAAGCTCCCGGTGGTGAAGTTGGAGTTCGTGGAAGCATGCATCTCAAGCGGGAAAAGACTGACTGAGCAGCCCTACCTCCTGTCCGGGGAAGCGACAGAGGACCCCGAGAAGAAGAAGAAGAGCTCTCAGTCCAAGACTGTCAAGATCATGGTGAAGGGGAAAGGTGCCGTCGACGTGGAGTCCGGCCTTGCCGACGATTCGCACATTCTAGAAGTTAGGGACAACATCTACTCCGCCACCCTGAATCGAACGGACATCTCAGAGGGCCTCAACAGCTACTACGTGCTGCAGATCATCGAGTCGGACGACAGCAAGACGACTCATCTGTTCCGCAAGTGGGGGAGGATCGGAGTGGAATCCAAGGGGACGAAGCTGGAGAAGATGCCCAAGGACTCCTGCATCCATGAGTTCGAGAAGCTCTTCCAGGAGAAGACCGGCAACCCCTGGCGAGATCGCACCCCAGATCGCTTCACCCAGCAGCCCGGCCGGTTCGCCATCATGGAGATCGGTATTGCAGCGGCCGACGAACACGGATCCCAGCTCCAGAAGGACACCTCCTCGAAACTCCCACCTACCGTCGCCAGTCTCATCCAGCTGATCTTCGACATCGACAACGACGACACGCCCCTCATCCAACAGAAGGCGAATGTCAAAGAAGAAGCAGGTAAGAAGAAGAAGAGGGCGAAAGAGGAGGACGCTGTTGAGGACGACGATGTGCCATTGTCGAAGATGAAGAAGGAGAAGGCAGCTCCCCGTGAGACTGTCAAGAAGGAGAACACAGCCTCGAGCGAGCTGGACAAGAACGTGAAGGCAATCAAAGCACACAGTGACAAGCTGTTTGCTATCCGCAATGCCCTGAAAGACGTGTCAAGGAACCTTCTCAAGGAAAGAAATCCTTGAGCATAACGACGTGGACAGCAGAGGAGGCGAGGTTGTCCTGCAAAGTCGGTGCGCAGACATCATGTTGCACGGAGTACCTGGGGACTGCCCGAAATGTCAGGGTAGGCTGCAGTACAGCGATGGAATGTACAAGTGCACGACCTGGACTGAGGATGGATTTGCCAAATGTCAATATTCGAGTATCACTGGAGAGAGGAAGGCATTCAAGATGCCGAAGGATATGGGCCACGACTACCTCGACAACTTCAAATTCGTGAAGGTCGCGATCCCGAAGGCTATGATGCGCGAGCAAGAAGAAGTCAGGGAGTCAGTACAGGAGAGGGAGAAGCAGCGGCTGATGAAGGCTGAGGAGGAGCTCGCGGAGATCAACGTGACGAGGAGGCCAGAGGAGCCGGTGGCGGAGGAGGAGTTGATCGGGCTGCCCGGCGTGCCGGTTTGATCCAAGATATAAATCGGCTTGGGTCCCCACCGGCACTTACCATCATGGCAAAGCCAAGACAGACCAAGCACGATAAGGAAGACGCCGTTCTCGTCAAGCCATCAAGGAGAAGTGCCGTCTAATATGCTTTTAAATACATCAATACAATCTATGATTCATGCGATTCTATCGGTAGCGAGGTCAGCTTCTGCATGCTCTCGTTGATCTGCTCCGTCGTCTTGCCCACCACGAAGGAGTCCATCAGAAAATCCACGGGCGCCGGTATGGCGAAGCTGGTGCGGGTGCGGTCTACGCCCTTTGATGCTGCCGATCAGCGACCGCAGCAGGGTGACGGACATCGCGACGCAATTGGAAGAGGGTCTCCGTGACGGTGGTGGGCGAGACCCTCAGCGCTCGAGTGCTCCCCGCCGTGCATGTCGGCAGTGTCGGAGCTCCGCGTGACCGTGGGGATCTCCAGCCTTGGCGAACTCGTCGGCCACCATCTTGGCCGATGATCTTGCCAGTTGGCCCTCGAGCGCCGCTGGGACGCCTTCCTCAGCCAGTGGACCTCCTCGCTCTCGCACAACTTCGCAGCGGTGACCTTCTTCCCAATCCGACTGGTTTAACTTTTACTAGAGACTGGCCGGGGTTTCACTCGAAGTTGAAAGCCTACTATCGTACTGATTTTAACTTAACTTTGAGTAAATGAACTATCAACTATGCACCCCGGCGGGCCTGGTGACCCGGCGAGGCCCTGCCGCCCGCTGAGGCAGGCTTCAATCGGAGCCTTCTTCCTCTGTGTAAGTCCTACCCCCTTTAGTCTCTGTATCACCCCTACCCGTCATGAACACGATGACTTTCCCCATCTGTACAACCTCATCAAGTATGATCTAGCTGAACTTTATATACTATCTCAAATATAAAATCAAAGGGCATGGACCCTATGGCATGAGCTGTTTGGTCAACGATGATATTCAGGGGTACATTGTACCGCCACCCCCACCTCTCTTAGCTACCAGGCTCCTTCTAGCGCATCCTACCAAGATGGTGGGACGCCCGGACAAGGAGCACGTGGCGGAGTATGCGAAGAGCGGGCGAGCTTCATGCAGGAAGTGCAAGAACAACATAGGCAAGGATGTCTTGCGCATGGGCAAGTATGTTCAGTCACCTTCTTTCGATGGCTGGGTCCCTATGTGGTTCCATGTGGACTGCTTCTTTGGGGGTAAGGGAGCAAAGCCAGAGGTGTCGGACATAGCAGGAATGTCAGAGCTCTCTTTCGAAGACCAGAAGAAGATCAAAGACTTGGTTGCTGGAAACGCAGTCGCATCAGGTGATCCCTCTCTTACTTCTGCATTCGCCCCTTGCGCAATTCGCAACCTCACGAAAATCTTTCTGTAGCTCCCTCCCAGCCTTCCAAGAAAGGCAAAGGAGGGTCCAAACCGGCGGATGCAGACGATGAAGGCAACATCGGTGACTACAAGGTGACCACCATGAAAGACGCTGACTGACTGGATAGCATTCCAATGACACTGGGTTGTAGGTGGAGATCGCGAAGAGCAGCAGATCAGAATGCAGGGGGTGCGAATCGAAGATTGAGGCAGGAAATCTGCGCATGGGGAGGATCGAGGCCATGGATCGCAGACCCTTCATTCCCACGCCCAAGTGGCATCACCTGGACTGTCTCTTCAAGGACGGGAAACCCGAAGACTTGAAGTCCTCGGAGGACGTTATCGGGTTCTCCTTGCTGGATTCGGACCACCAGGCGATGGTTAGAGAGAAGATGGGAGAGAAGGGAGGAGCAAAGGCATCCGGGAAGAGATCCGCTGGGGAAGACAACAAGTCGGCGAAAGGGTCGAAGAAAGCCAAGAAGGAGGAGAAGGTAGACCTTGACGAGGACGACGACACGCCCCTCATCCAACAGAAGGCGAATGTCAAAGAAGAAGCAGGTAAGAAGAAGAAGAGGGCGAAAGAGGAGGACGCTGTTGAGGACGACGATGTGCCATTGTCGAAGATGAAGAAGGAGAAGGCAGCTCCCCGTGAGACTGTCAAGAAGGAGAACACAGCCTCGAGCGAGCTGGACAAGAACGAGAAGGCAATCAAAGCACACAGTGACAAGCTGTTTGCTATCCGCAATGCCCTGAAAGACGTGTCAAGGAACCTTCTCAAAGAAATCCTTGAGCATAACGACGTGGACAGCAGAGGAGGCGAGGTTGTCCTGCAAAGTCGGTGCGCAGACATCATGTTGCACGGAGTACCTGGGGACTGCCCGAAATGTCAGGGTAGGCTGCAGTACAGCGATGGAATGTACAAGTGCACGACCTGGACTGAGGATGGATTTGCCAAATGTCAATATTCCAGTATCACTGGAGAGAGGAAGGCATTCAAGATGCCGAAGGATATGGGCCACGACTACCTCGACAACTTCAAATTCGTTAAGGTCGCGATCCCCAAGGCTGTGATCCGCGAGCAAGAAGAAGTCAGGGAGTCAGTTCAGGAGAGAGAGAAGCAGCGGCTGATGAAGGCTGAGGAGGAGCTCGCGGTGATCAACGCGAAGAGGAGGCAAGAGGAAGCTTCGGACCCCAGCACGTGCTTGAAGGACATGGTCTTCATGCTGCATTCCACCAAGAACTATCGCATCGACTTCGACGAGTGGTCCGGCAAGATCAAGTCTGCTGGAGGCGAGCTCTTGGTTTCCCCTTCTGCGAACCATGACAAGACCCGCAGGAAGCATCGTCAAGTCGATGACTAAGTCCGTCACTCACGTTCTGACCACTAGCGGCGCGCATACGGCGGGTGGCAGCGCGATCAAGGAGGTCTCGTTGCACTTTGCCACCTTGATCGGGTCTGATATTATGCTGAAACCCTGCAGGCGGTGAAGAGGAAGCTCCCGGTGGTGAAGTTGGAGTTCGTGGAAGCATGCATCTCAAGCGGGAAGAGACTGACTGAGCAGCCCTACCTCCTGTCTGGGGAAGCGACAGAGGACCCCGAGAAGAAGAAGAAGAGCTCCCAGTCCAAGACTGTCAAGATCATGGTGAAGGGGAAAGGTGCTGTCGACGTGGAGTCCGGCCTTGCCGACAATTCGCACATTCTGGAAGTGAGGGACAACGTCTACTCGGCCACCCTGAACCGAACCGACATATCCGAGGGCCTCAACAGCTACTACGTGCTGCAGATCATCGAGTCAGACGACAGCAAGACGACTCATCTGTTCCGCAAGTGGGGCAGGATCGGAGTGGAATCCAAGGGGACGAAGCTGGAGAAGATGCACAAGGACTCCTGCATCCATGAGTTCGAGAAGCTCTTCCAGGAGAAGACCGGCAACCCCTGGCAAGATCGCACCCCAGATCGCTTCACCCAGCAGCCCGGCCGGTTTGCTATCATGGAGATCGGTATTGCAGCGGCCGACGAGCACGGATCGCAGCTCCAGAAGGACACCTCCTCGAAACTCCCACCTACCGTCGCCAGTCTCATCCAGCTGATCTTCGACATTGACATGATGAGGAAATCCATGCTCGAGATGGAGATCGATCTCGACAAGATGCCGCTGGGTGCTTTATCCAGGAAGCAGATTCAGCGAGGATACTCAGTCCTCACGGAGATCCAGAACGTGCTCGATGATCCCAACCTGGATGAGTTCGACAGGAACCAGAAGATTCTCTCCTGTACTAACCAGTTCTACACCATCGTTCCTCAGAATTTCGGCCTTGGTGGGATGACGGCTGTCCATCGGATTGACTCCCATGACAAGCTGAAAGAGAAACTGGAGCTTGTAGAGTCTTTGCTGGAGATGGAGATTGCTGTCAGCCTTCAGAAGGAAGGAGGGGGTGACGAATCCCCAATAGATGCCAACTACAAGCGGCTCAAGACGGACATCAAGCCGGTCCGTCCGCCTTGCTCCGCCCCCTTTCTTGTTCCATGGTGACATCTTTGTGTTGCAGATAGCCAAGGACGATGAGCGTTGGAAGATGATCGACCAGTACCTGAGGAACACTCACGCGGCTACTCACTCTACCTACACCACCGAATTGATGGACTTGTTCGAGATCGAACGAGAAGGCGAAAAGGACAGGTAAGATCAAGGTTGATCATTGACATCCACTGACCTGATGGATTCCTCCTCCCCTGACCATCCTCTTCCGTGCCTGTTCCCTCTTCAGATTTGCTCCTTTCGCCAAAGATTCAAACCGCAAGCTGCTCTGGCACGGTTCCCGCATAACGAACTGGGTCGGAATTCTCTCACAGGCAAGGCGAGTTGTCATCCTGAAGCTGGAGGGTAAGGCTTGTCGCAGGGTCTCCGTATTGCTCCCCCCGAGGCTCCAGTGACCGGCTACATGTTTGGTATCCTTTCATTCCTCTCCCTCCTTCTCCTCACGTCCCCCGACCCAGGCAAGGGAGTTTATTTCGCCGACATGAGCTCCAAGTCGGCCAACTACTGCAAAGCCGAGCTGTCCAACAACGAAGGCCTCCTCATGCTCAGCGAAGTTGCGCTCGGGAAGTCCCACGAGCTGATGGCGGCCAAGGAGACTCTTCCTAAGGGGCTTCCTAAGGACTGCATCTCCGTCAAGGGCTGCGGGAAGACTGCGCCGGATCCGAAAGCGTCCTTCATCGACGAGGATGGGGTGAGGGTTCGAGCTCCGAGGTCACGTCCCTGACCGTAGAGGGTGCAGGTTGAGGTTCCTTGTGGGAAGGGGACACAGATGTACGGGCTGAAAAGCTCTCTGCTGTACAACGAGTACATCGTGTACAACGTGAGTCAGGTGAGTTCATGATGAGATGATTCAAGATGGTGAACCAGGGCTCCAACTCATTGACTCTGTTTGATAGATCAAGAACAAGTATCTGCTGCGAGTCAAGTTCAATACCAACAAGAGATAGACCGTTGAGTTCTACCGGCCGTGACTTGCCCGGAGGCTTAGTCCGTCACGTTGTACTGCCGGGCGGCGGCCTCGACGCGCCGGCGGGCCCGGGGACTCGGAGTCCGAGGGTACTAGGATTTAACTTTCAAGTTTTTTTTTTTGTACGGCAGTGCCGCCGGAGTCACTGACTGTCGCCGTTGAACGGACTGTGGAGCCTGAGCCTGTCTGAGATCTTTTTGAGATGGTCACCGGCGTGATCGGATACACTGGTTCACTGCCATGACCTGCTCCGAGTCCCGGAGGCTCAGGCTGCCACCGGCAGTTGCCAAGTTGAGTTCGATTCAGTGACCCGGTTACCTCAGGCTGACTGCCGGCGCACGGCGGTACCAATAGGCGTGCCTTGCGGCCAGCCTGTTGGGAAAATAAAAGATCAAATTCTACACTCATCAGTTTATGAGCCTCTGCTTGTCAAAATGATGACCCCCTCTATACCTGGTCGATTCAACGAGGACCCCACCTACCCCCATCCCCTAAGTTGGGGAGGGAGAATCTTGGCCATATGAACCCTACCCCACCTTTAAAAGGAATTTGCCCTGACCGCAAGCTATTTTGGGCGCTATGCAGCCAGCGCTCTTCCATGCTGTGCAGGATCGACGCGCGGAGAGAAGAGGAGGGCGAGCAGCAGTAGCTGCAGCTGCAGCTTCTTTCCTCCTCGTTGCATGCACCATCCTCGTCCTGTACTCAGGACGTCCTGTCAGTCTCTCTATCGGAAGCGACGAGGTAGTTGAAAGTCACTATGTGGTTCACTGATACCGGCGGGTTAGACAATGAAGGGATGGGAGGATGGAATGTATCCTTCGGGAGCGACATTTCCTGCCGGGTATGGATGTGCTTCCATGCCGGTGGTCTCTTGACTCCCACTCCTGAAGATACAAGTTTGGAGACGGCAACGTGTTTGGGAAGAACTCTGTATTTGGAGCAGGGGATACATTTGGTGGGAAAGTTCTGGTGTCAATCACTTGCTTTTGTTCTTAAAGTTCTTGTCAGGTGATAAGAACGTGTTTGGGAAGGGGAGCATCTTCGGCGCTGGGTCCAAGTTTGGTGATAAGAAGTATGTTGAGTATCCATTCCCTTGACTGTCTCGTTGACATTCTGCAGCAACTTTGCTAAGAACCAGAGGTTTCAATCGGGCACGACGCTGGGAAATGATGAGACCATTGGCGCTCATTCCGTGATCGGCGAAGGAAGCATCATCGGCGACAGAAACCAGGTCGATCCCGATGGAGCTTGGCAAAAGCTCAGCTGTGTGAAACGTTCGCTAAAACGTCGACTAGTTTGGAAACGATGTTGTATTTGCAAAGCGAGTCTCACTGGGGAAAGAGAACATGTTCGGACCTTATGATCAGTTTGGATCACACGATCAACTGGGAAAGGTGTGTAGCTCTTGTGTGAAGCATGAAATGGTTTACGTGAGATGACAGAACAACGAGTTTGGTCGTGGTGCCATGTTCGGGCGCGAGATAGTCTTTGGAAAGGGCGAGGAGTTTGGGTCTCGAAGCAGCTTCGTAGAACCTGAGCATCTTCAAGGACATGATGAGTTCGGCACTCGCAACTGGGGCCTGCAGGAATCGGACCTTCCCAAGAGCGACAAGGAACCTTGGACGGTGCTGAGTTGTACTTGTGGCTGGTTGGTCTTTGCTCACAAGCTGTGCAGCGAGCTGCTGCCGCTAGTCCAGAATACGAACCGGACAGGGAGATTCAAAACAAGGTCGCACGCCCTATCTTATTCCAGCAGTTCCTTGATGCGATTTCTAGGTGTTGAGTTTGGCAAGGAAGAATGCTAAACAGGCAGCAACAAAGGACTCTAAGAAGTTGTCTTTGAAGGCAATTGAGAAGGCTGTCGAACAAGCTTCAGCGCAAGCGAAGCGGCTAGAGAGGTGAGACTGTCGTGATGTCGATTATGAACTGAGCTATTGTTCTTTTCAGAATTGCCAGGCAAGTAGCACGAAAGTAGTTCCTTGGAGCCTTGTAAAAGTTCTGATGAATTTGATTGGCACTTTGTCGTGATGGATAACGTATGTTTTGAGTTTAGGAGGATCGAAACTGAGCAGTTTCAATCCAACACAACATCATCCTTGGCTTGACGTATCCTGCATTTGCAAGTTATCGGTCTGTAGCACAACATGTTTGAGTACTTTCTGTGCTCTCGTTTCAACCATGTGAGCGAGTCCTGACACTGGAGTCAAACAACACAAAAACTGATGGAGATAAAGAGACCTGGGTAGTCTCCTTCTCCTTTGCTTCTTTGCTGGAGCTGCACCATCGTCACATGCAACCTCACCTGCAAAAGTCGGATACCTTTCTTTCGTTTTCTTCTGTTGTTCTTCTGGTTGTTGGTGGTGATGGTGATGGTGATGGTGATGATGTCGACGATGTTTGTGATGCTTGCGGTGAGTCTTCTCTTGTTCTTGGGTCGCAGAAGTTTCGTCAGAACACAACTTATCATCCATCCTCTCCTAACCTTGTTCTTGTTCTTCTTGAAACATGGCGTCCATCGGATTTTGCTGCGTAATGTCAACTGTGCGTGGCTCCTATTCCTCTGATCTCACCATGAGGTGATATCCGTGAGCTGCGAAATTCTTTCTCCGGTGATTTTTCAGCCTCTCCAGCATTTCCCTGTCATCCTCCCATGCAAATCCTGGGCAGCACTCAGCACTACGGCCCTGTCCTCCTGCAGACCGCTAGGGCACCTGAAGCCTTCGACTCCTTGTACATGTACTCTAGACAAGCGTTCGAAGAGTCCGTATCTCTCGTTCTTGTGTCGGCTCCCGCGGCCAGCAGCGCAGTGATGACTCTGATCATGCCAAGTCAGATGAGGTGGAGGATGATGATGAGGGAGGAACCTGCCTCGCTCCCTGTGCGAGCTCTCTGCGGCAAAATGCAGAGGGGTTTCCCCAGAGTCTGCAGCAACATCCGACCCGTCAGAAGGAAGCGGACGATGGAGGGGAGAGGAGCGAACCGACCGGTGACCTCGTTGGGATCGGCCGACAGCTCAAGGAGAAGCAGAACCATCCTCTCTCCTCCGCTCCGAGCAGCCACATGGATCAATCCGACCGCTGTTACAGGGTCGACAAAGTCTCTGATCCCGTGTTCCACCGCCAATTTCCGCATCTTGGACAGATCGTCGCGGTAGATGCAGTCGAGCATCTGACGGTAGACAACCTCGTGTGGGGAAGGAGGCTTGTCCTCCGGACGAGGCTCTCTGATCCCGAAGCACCCGCCAAGGAACTCCTCGAAGTCAACGGTGCCAGAGCCGTCGCTGTCGATCTGCTTCAGCAGGATGCTCGCGGCTGCGTCGGAAAGGTTTCGCCCCAGTGCTTTCAGAATCTCTCTCAATTCCTTGGTGGCCACGAAGCCGGAGTTGAGGTAATCGTGCCTGTCAAACTCCTGGCGATACCTGGCGATGTCCCGTGGCGAGCCAGGTGGGAGATCCTGGGCAGACGCATCCTCGTCCTGCCTGGCTGGGCCAAGTTTCATCCTTGCGAGAGGGCAATCAGGAACGGAGAATCCTTCTGGGCCAGCGCCTGATCGATCCGGGAGGATTCTTGCAGCCTGCGTTGCAGATAAACTCAGGGGGAGAGGGAGACGGGGAGGGAGAGGGAGAGGGGGAGGGAGAGAGGGAAGGGAGGGCTGACAAGTGAGCGAGGACCACCTGCCATCGTTTCTCCACGTCTAGATGTTGCAAGCCCCGACCCCCCCGGATCTCCCAATACTCAGCGTTGACGTATGTAAGCGATCCCATAGCGATATGTTCGATGTGGTACCTCGTCCTCCCTGCTTACTTCCTCCTCACCTGCGCCTCCCCATCATCACCTGCTTCACTTCCCCTCCCCGGTACCATCTCCACCCAACGGACCGCCAGGTGTGATTTGGCGGCCCGGTCACCGGGTCACCGGCCCGGTGAGCGCCGGGCAGCGGCCCGGGCACTGAGCCGGCGCCGCGCTGAGCGCCTTCCCGGCGGGCCGCCGAAGTTTGAGTCACGGTCACCGCGGCCGGGAGTCCGTGGCAAGGCTTGCTGCCGCAGTGCGGCACTCACACGGTGCCACTCTAGTACACGGTCCGTCAGTCGGACTCTCAGAAGTGGCATCCGCAAACTGATCAGTTAGGCACACTGGCCCGGCCGCAACTTGGCTTGGCCGCGCGGCGCGGCGTGGGCCCGGGCCGACGGTCGGTCACCGTGGCACCGGGTCCGATCACCGATCATCGGATCATGCCGCAGTGCGGACACCAGGTTGCCGCCGGGCGGCCGCCGGTCGTCGCGCCCGCCGAGGCTCACCGACCGTACCGTTCGACACCCGGCCCGGCGGCGGCGCGACCGTTGAGTCCGAGTCAGTCGGACCGGCGGCGCCGGTGATGGGCGCCAGGCCCGGGGCGGCCCGGGGCGGCGCGCATCGGCGACCGTCGTGGCATCATCGAGTCATACTCATGCCATGATGGCGTCGCCGCCGCGCCGCCGCGGCGCGGCGCGCGGCGCGCGGCGGCGGCGCTGGCACTGGGCACGATCCGAACCGTTGGGATCAGATTGGCGCCCGCCGTGCCGCGCCGCGGCTGCCGCAGTGCTCCGGACTGAGTCCGATCCCCGAGTCCGGCGGAGGGTCGACCGGACTCTGCCGTGACGGGACCGTCCGACAGTCCGTTGGCTAAGTTGGCTCAGCCTCCGAGGCTCAGCTTGATGGCAGCCCGGCGCGCCGCGGCGGACTCGGACTTCGGCAGTAATGACTCACAGTACGGCAGTGGATTGCAGGTGCCGTTAGGCAGTGCCCGCGTGGTCATGGCCGGATGATTACACCGTTGCTGTAAGGGCTGTGCCTGCTTTACCATCTTAGTGTCATCATTTTCTAAAAAGACAATTTTTCAGACCTCTTGCTGGTATTGGTATAAGCAATGCTGACAGGTAGAAATCTCCAGATAATCTTAGCGTCAGCAATTGCACACTCAAGATGGCTGCATGCGATGATAAGATGCAATTTCGGGGAACCGCTGACAGTCTGGGTGGGGGCCTTACAGGGTTTGGAAATATCCAAATTTTTGTTCCACAACAAACTTGGGTAGTACCCCAACCTATCCCACATCATCTCTCAGGAAAGGAGGGGTAGTGGATATCCGCCTCATTACCACACACTTCCCCAGCCGTGTTTTTATCGCTTTCCCTTGTGGTTTCCTTCACAGAACTGCGCCTTCCGTTTCCTGGCTTTCCCTCCCCGGTCTATCTTCGTCTTCCCCTTCCTCCTCGACCCCTCCCTCCCTCTCCAGTATTCATTGTCTCCTGGTTTATTCCAGTTGTCTTCATCGCTGAATTCTTCTTGCCAACTTTCTCTTGTTCCGCTGCGATCACAGCTTCCTGTCGTGTGATCAATTGTTCTCGCAACCACCCTGCCAACTCATCAAGATATTGCACTTTCCGGATAGGATAATTGCAAGCTCGCTTGCTAGCATTTGCTGCTCACCAAAATCAAACGCCATGACCTCTGGCCGAATGAACAAGGAAGAAGTTTCTCTCAGGAGTGCGAAGCCACCTCGTCCCGACGAGGACAAGCACAAGGACGTTGACCTTTCCCTCGCATCCTTGGCTAGAATTGAAGAAGGCGACGAGGAGGAATGGCCTGATTGCTTCAAAAGGAGTGCTTACAATGATGAATCTATCCAGCACGACACGTGTGACGAGGGTTCCGACTCCTTGCAGAAGATGAGAGAGGAAATCCAGCGCGTGTTGTTGGGATACAGCTCTCCCCAGACCTCTCCACGCAACTACCCGAATTTCGTCTTCAAGCCAGATCATCCTCCTAAAGTTCTCAACTCGAATCACGAAGTGAAGACGGAAAACGTTCAGACGTCCCTTGCTGCACGGTCGACGTCCTCCCCCACACCAGCCCCAAGACTTCATGCAACGCGCAAGCAGTATCGAAAGGGGGTTTCTCATCTAAAGGATCAAGAAGAGGAATTCTGTCAAATGCTTCAGCTTCGGACAAGCATGGAAAAGCCCACGAACAAGCAAGTCAGCTGTTCCATCCGCCATGATGGCACATTCTCAATCTACTCCGAGGACCACAAGAAGATAGCTTCTTTACACTGCTCAGAATGCTCTGTCCGCGGACTTCGATTTCGTCCACAAGTTCTTTTTGTGAAGAGTCTCGAGAGCTCGTCAAAGCTAGCTCACGACCGATGGTCTTCAGCTGCATATCTGGTCTGCGCTGATCAGAAATCGCGCGACTCTTGGCTCCTGCATTTCCTCAGCCATGGAGCCAAGGAGGTCCCTCCTCCCACCGCGATCAAGAGGCGTTGATCCTGATCCTGCCGTCTGCACGTGCATACCGCTCGTAATGCCTCCAGCATGAAGGGCAGGCAGTAGATAGAGGCTAGAATCTTCAACTCGCTCATGTACATAATCATTGTAAAGACTCAAAAAACTATATGAGCGTCATCCTCCACAATGATTTCTGATCGGCAGAGGTGCTCTACTTTGCATGTCTCCTTGAGATAGATTGGGAAATCCTGTGAAAAGCTCTTAAATCCTCTACTGACCATCCAGTTCTGGATCATCTCACCTGCCCAGCGCCATGTCAACTTTCTGGGCTTCCCGGTTTGCTGCTGAAATCGTATTCAACAAAGAGTTCTGTTTGGTGGAAGAACGAGTCCTGGGGTCATCCTTTTAGTCAAGGTGGACCAGCTGTAATTGAGCATACTTCTTGTCTTGTGCATCGCTACCTTGCGCTGATCTCAGGGAGATAGCCTTTGCAACCTTGTCATTCTCTGGAATGAAATCCGGATCCTGTGCAAGATGAATGAAGTCAGAACAGGGTCTCACTTGACCATGATCTCCGCACATTGACTGCTTTCCAAGTCTCCTTGTCACTCTTTGGCAGCTCATCTTCGTTTAGCCCCCAGTTGTCATGACCAAACATGTCCTTTCCTTGCAAGGTTTGATGCTTCGGGGCCCAAACGGTGTCGTCTCCAAACTGCTCATGCTTTCCAAACCTGAGGACTCAACATCACCATGGGCCGTGTTCACGAGCACGGTCTTACGAAGAGTATGCGCCAAAGGTCGTGTGAGCTCCATATTGATTCTCGTGACCGAAGGCAGTCCTTCTTCCAAACTCAGAGTGAGGGCCGAACTCGTTGCGATTCCCAATGTCTGGTCGACAGATTGTCCGTCAGCATCACAGAGTTTCGCAGGATCCGCGGCACGCACTCATTCTCTTGCCGAAAGTGATCCTTCGTCCGAAAAGGTTGTTGCTCCCTGATGGAGGTGAGGTCATGAACAAGATCGTTCGAACCCTCAGGATCAACAAGCACCTATTTGGTCCCCGTCACCGAATTGCGAGTAGCCGCCGATGGTCTCTTTGTCGCCCAAAGAGGATCCCTGCCCAGCATGAGCACTTCGATTTCGATCACTTTGCAGTCCTACCGGCCCAAATTTCACGTGGGAGCCGAAGAAATTCCTGTCTTGAAACTGTGACCCAGCTCTGAATGTGTCGCCCTGATTACAGCTGTACGTTAGCAACTGACTAGATGCTCTCTTGTCAGACCTTTCCGAACACGTTGTCGTTTCCAAACGTGTCGCCAGCTCCAAATTCATCGTTCTTGCCGAAGACTAGTACTTGGGTAAGCAACAACGTTGCCACCTCTATCGCTATGGCAGAAGGGTACCATTGTTGTTGCCGAAGTTGTAGCCAGCAGGGAACTTGGCATTCTGAGTTCGGATCAGATTTGGGAAAGAGATACAAGGCACATGCAAATATACCGCTGGAAACATTCCATCCTCCCATCCTTTGACCTTCTGTTTGACAAAGTGAATCAAGTGAATTTCGAGGTAAGCGAGCACACACCTCATCGGATCCCATGCCCAACTCGGTTGCTGATCCTTCTCTCCGTGTGAAGGAAACCGCAGCAATCAGAAGGCACAAGAAGGAGGCCACAGCAGCAATCTATGCACACGCATCACACCAAGGAACTCCCAGGACTGCTCAACAAGTCTTACCCTTGCTCTGTAGCTCGCGGACTTGTTTGCCCTGAACCAACATGGCATGTCAGTTGCTCAGCTACTCATGACGCTCCCATGGGACTCGGGATGCAGTCCCAGTGATCCCGACCGACTAACCTGACGACATGAGCGACGAAAGCGTCAGGTCTCGCCATCGCTGCTAGCCCGAGCTATTTCGGGCACCCCGATAGTGAACCTACCGGCACGACTTTGGCCCGGCGGCCCAGGCCGGAAGTGCCGGGCCAGCTTATTCAAGTTTCGGAGCCGAGTAAAGATTCAAGTTCAGAAGGCTTTCAAGTTTGTGGATCTTCCGAGCCTGTTTAATTTATTCAATCAAGTTGGCAAGTTCGACTCGGAGGTAACGGAGGCTACTACACATTCGTTAAAAGCATCGCCGCATAGCTTGCCGCTGAGCTGTCAGCCTGTGACTGTTGAGCACCCGTATTGCCTCTTCGAATGATTCCCAGGTTCTTGTAGTAGGTAATGTATGAATATCCACTAAAATGCTTGCGTGCCCCATGGTCCACCCATGCATCCTTGCCGTACACGGTCTCAACCAAGTCACGAAATCCTGTTCTGTAACATTCCACCAGATTGTGCGGCATGATCTCTTCCGATTCACCAAGAACTCCCCGTTCACGGCAGTTCTTCTCAATTTCATTCATCACCACTCTCGCTTTGTTGATGTTCCTTTTTGTGTTGTAGTCATTTATGTCTGCAGCAAAGCATGGTTTCCTCAGGTGTTTCAAAGGACGGATCCTCTTGACTTGTCCGTGCTCATCAACTATATCTTGCCCTATATTCCACCACATGAACATGCTTCTTGTCGGCACTCGCAGAGGGAACTTAAAGTTGCTCGGGACCATGTGCTTACGTAACCCGTCGACTTCTCCTTCCCAATAGAAATCGTCTCCCCCTACCTCCATTCCGCTCTCGTCACACACTGCAGCACATCCATTCTCAACAGGCTGGTTGGAATCTTCATCATGAATCACATCATCCGCCGCATTGTCTCCATCTGTTGGTTCAAAGCGCTCGCCATCTCCACCCGCTTGCCCATCGTCATCGCGCACCCTACCACCTTGCGCCCGAGAGAGAGTTGTTGTACCCAGTACCTGCATCAACTCTTCCCGTATCACCTGCCTCATACGCTCCGTTTCTGACTGTACCAGCTCCTTCATATACTCCTTCATATACTCCTTCAAAGTAGACATCATGTTGGTCCACATCTCTGTGGTGCTCAGACCAGTAAGTCCTTCCTGTGCTTCCCGCAATACAGGTCTTGAGACACCTTCAGATCGCATACCGCTAGCCTCTGGAATATGGCTTGAACTACTCTCGGACGATAGCTCCAGCGGTTGTGCTGCCACTTCAGCTGGATCCGCACTTCGGAATACTGTGAATGGAATTGCCCGACCCGTCATATGCTCCCGAATCTCCTCTCGCATCTCACCAAGTTCCCTCAGAATGTCAGTTTTGGAAGGCGTACCGCTGGCTTTCATTCCACATTCTGTACATCTGTGCATGGGAACGACGACTTCTTGTCGGAGTAACATGAGCCTTCGCATCGTGTCAGCTCCAAAGACCCCAAACATTGGCATCCCCCATATGAAATGATCGTTGCCAGGATACCACTTTTGCAGCGTAGGCAGATGATACAGAATACTGGCGAGGAAGAATTCAGTACATTTCTGAAACCCGGCTGGAAATTCATGGTATCCATCGATGAAACGCTCCCATCCTATCGACTGGATTTGCCTCAATCCCTCCCGTGTGAAGTGCGGAGGCAGCACACCAAACTTAGCACTTGTGCTATCGTTCCCCGCCAGAATTCTTCCCGCAAACTTGTCACCATCGGTTCCTCTCAAAACGAATCGATCCTGTATATCTCCTGACAATTTCATCAATTTGAGAATCTTAACGTTCAATCGGCAATGGTCCTACCTATCCTGCCATTTGCTCTGACGTATACAGTTGGAGCTCCTGGTGCAGGTCCAATCATCGGTTTGCTTCATTGAAACATGATGAAACATCATACCTGGTCCGTCCATCATATCCAGTAGATGCGACATGCCTCCATTCCTGAGGGATTTCGTCCCTGAGATCCCAAAGTTGCCTGGATGTTCTTCTCGCACTACCCTTTGTAGAAGCTGTTGAAACCGATGTCTCTGATCCCTCCCAATGAAAAGCTTGCTGCCCTGCTCTGACATGCATATTCCTCTCGATGCGAAGGTGTACAGTCCCAGGATCAGAATCGGGCATATTTCAGGGCTCTCCGGTGCAGCAAAAACGTGTTTAACTTGTGAACTTGATGAGTCGGAGTGATTTCTTGCTTTGCCGGGTTTAGTGCGATGCAGCACCACTTTCATGGCATCATCTTCCCACGAAATATGTTCCAGATGAAGGATGTCCAACGACTCACTCCGGCAAACCAGGTTCCACATAAGGTTGGTGCACACCCAACCAAATATCCATGAGTCTCCTGCCTCTGTGCTACCCCTACGAGGTTTAATCTGTCTGAGAAAGTTGCACAACGCTCGATACTCCGCCATGTTGATTGCCGTTGGACCTTCGCTTTGACGTGGTCTTTTCTGCGGCCTACTGCTGCCCCCAACTTTCTTCCCTTTCTCACATGTTCCGCAAGAATTCCCTTCGTCGCAGCTAGCCAGTTCGAAGGCGCATAAATGATGGAACGGCTTGTCGCAACCTCGACAAACCTTCAACTCAGCATCCCTTATTCCCCGCAACTTGCAATCAGCCCCAAACAAACATATCTTCCTATCCTCTGATGACATATTCCCCTCTACCGTGGCAGTAGTGGGCAAAGGCAAACCTAGAAGCTGCAATGAGATTCTGTTGGCTGTAAAGTGAACGAAGCTACTTGGCGCAAGTACGAAGGGAGGCAAGGAGAAGTTGCGGGAGAGGAGAGAGGTACACAGGCTGAGATGAGATGAGGTGACCTGACGTTTCAGCGTGAGGAGACAGAGGGCTGCATTGCTGTGCAAAATGGCGCGCAATCAACCACCCCAGGCACTACTGGTTGGCGCACCGGACCTGGCATTCCGTGGTCACCCACCCTGTCAGGACCCCAACTTTCAGCATCTTATAAGGGGTGCTCATATATTACCCACCACCGTATTTGATGCGAACATCTGATCACCCCTACCCCCTAAACTTGCAACCCTTTTTTTAGCTCTTTTTTCTTTTTACAAGAACAATGGTCTCTTTTTGTTTCTCCGAAGGGGGCGCCGTTACGTGTCCGCAACGGGCGGTCCTTATAAGGAGGGTCGTATTCTCAACATCTCGTACTGATTTTTACCTTAAAACTTTGAGTAAAGACTCAACAAAAGGGTTGTGGGGATGGCGATGCCGTCGTCGCGGCCTTTGCTGCTCATCATGGCAGCTCTGCTGATCTTGTGCTCGAGAATGCTGCTGCTCCTACTCCCTCTTGTCCTTCAGGTAGGCCATGCTCAGGCTGAGCCCATCAAAATTCTTTCCTCGTGTCCTTTGGAGGTTCTGCACTTCTCGGAAGCTTACGCCCGATCCTAATGCTCGCGAATTATCGCCCGAATTCATTTATATCCTCACTAAGTTCTCTCTGCAGACGCTCCTGATATATACATTGTTAGCACCAATAGCCATCTTGGTGTTGGGACTCCTTCTTTTCTTCGGGATACAGGTATCCTTCTCTTGCGACCTTCAAGGAGGCTCTTGATTTGCTTGCTTCTAAGATACACTACACCTTCAAAACTGAGGGGATGATATCGACTGGATGGCTTATTGTAACAAGCCTGATAATCTTTCCGGTCTTAACCATCATTGAGGTATTGCCTGACCTATTCAGCCATTGCTGAGTCCTTCTGCCAGTTTATAGATGGGTTCTTCTTCACGGTGCCTGCGGCAAAGAGGCATCTTTGACGATGTCATGTCATCTGTTTATTCCCTGATTCTCTTTCTCTACCTCCAGGCCAGGGGATAAACAAAAGCAGGAGAATGAGAGCCCCGTCATCGTGAAAGAAGGCGAAGTTGCTGTACTGAAGGGGGTTGTCAGCCACAGGCGGAAAGAGCAAGCGATGTACGCCCCTACCTCCCTGTAAGATCACACTGAAAATGAGTGACGGAAATTCAGAAACAACTTTGATTACCATGTCAACTTCTATATCATTCCTCTGGATAGCTGCACTCAGTTCCAAGGAGGTCAACCTGCTTTCAGTAGCTCTTGTTTGTTATGTTTGACTGTATGCACCAGACCATCTGTCTGCAGATCAAGCTAGGGAGATGGCCATGACAGATGGCCCAGTAAGCTCAATTGCATCTGACGAAATGATTTGTGACAATCTTCTCTTTACAACACTCCTCCCTTTAATTGTGAAGGTTCTTCTTTTCACCAACCCTAAAAGCGCCGGATACCATCAAAATCCGATTACAGTTTACTATTGCTACAAGTTTGATTGATGCTACACTGATAACTACTGGCTCATCTTTTGCACACAGCTTGGATGGCACTTTGGTGAACTGCATCGCGGAAGTCACGAACACTGTGTGTACTCCGACTGGTGCTGTCCAAATGTTATTGACGTCCATGTTGCCAGCCCTGGGGTGAAAGAGTCACTTTTCTCTTCGATCCGAAGGGAGACAATGTGAGTTTTTGATTGCTCGTTAGTTTCAAAGTTCTGCTAAACTCCTCAAAGGTGCCCAAGACTCTTCACGTCAGTCCCTTCCTTGACATGAACCGTAAACGAGTGCTCAACCAAGCTCTGGGGTTCTGATTTTCCCTGTAGGAGCATGGCGTTTGGAGGGTTCCCTCCCTGCCACATTGATCCCTGGCACAGCCAAAGTAAGATTTTGGTCACTCAGTTTGCTGGAAGGGGACTCATTGAATCTCAGAAAGACGCTCTGCACAGGACACAATTTCGAATGATGCCAACAATCGATTTGAGGTACTCTGCAATGTGAACTAGAAGCTGGTTGGCACAAGTGTGATGTCATGTTGGCCAGCGTCACTTGCCTGCCCAACTGTGAAAACGGATCTCCATTCTATGCCTTCTTGCGGGTTAGAGGTCGTCACTTAGTCTTTTGGGGCCTGAGGAAGTTCTAGGTGAAACCGGTCAAGGCAGCGAAAGGAATAAGTCTGTGGTCCAGCCCGCGCGCATACTTCATGCCTCAGAGGATCGCATTGAGAATCTATTGGCAGGTTGTTGAATCCTCCCTTTCCTGTCCTCCACTGCAACCGTTCTGCAGCGTTGTTGAGAAGTTTGGCAGGCTTTCAAACTTCTTATCAAGGGGGTCAGGTTACCGTCCTTTAAACCCCCTTACCGTCTCTGATTGGACTCATCGCAGATACTGTCCTCATCCACGTGAAGTCGACGTGGCTGCGTACGAAACGCTCGTGAATCGACCAGGACCGATAGTAATTGGTACATCCTCTACTACGATTTCATCTCCTTTTCCCGTTGCTCTGTTTCTCCGAACCTCTTTTTCTATCTTCCTCGTCTTACTGCTGCTTGCTACAACGACGTCGTACCTCTCTGACGATTGAGTTGCGCAGAAGGATCTTCACTTCCAAGTCGCAAATATATCTTCCGAGAGTTCGAGGCCGATGGCTCAAAGGTTGAGCGGGTGACAAGCTCAGTGATCAGGTGGAGACGCAGCTGTTCCTTCCTGGACCCTTTTGACGTTGATTCCACAGTGGTGACATGGATAGCTTCACAAAGGAGAGCCTGCAGGAGAAGCCAATGATCTCTATGCTGCAATACTTTGATGGAAAATCTTGGCAGCAGGGACACTGAACAAATCAACGTATGTACAGACATGAATACTTGTTTCCATTGGGATCAAAACCTTGGTGCTGAACGAGCACAGCACCTTGTTTTCAATTTTCCGGCAGAAGTATGACTCATCAAGAAATATTTTCAAATCTCCAGATCGATCAAGATCTGTAATTGAAGGTTTATGAAACATGAGGCATTTAAAGGGGATTATAAGAGCAGCTAATCTAGAACATGTTGGCGCACTGGGGCATACAGAACTTCTGGTAGAGCTGGTAGCAGTGGAGAATGTCTTGCTTCCACAAATCCAGTCCAGTCGCAGTGGGAGTCCATTCAGCTGCCTGGTTGGGGGGATAGTAGGACAGGTCCGAGGGATACTCCCTCTGTCCAAGTCCGTGCGTGCACTTCAGGAAGTTGTCCTTGCAGGATGCCTCGCACTGAGCCCCGACATAGAGGATCTGCTTCCTTGGGATGTTGACCACCTTCACAGCTCTCAGCTACCCTCGGCCTTGCACTCCACACACTAACCTGCACAGGGAAGTAGTCGACCAGAAGCTCACTGCGGCGGACGTGGATGGTAGCGATGCCCACAACGCCGACGAGGGCAAGCAATGCAGCAATGCCAGCCAAAGTCTTGCTATTGAAACTGAGTGGAGCAATCACTCAGTTTGTGCCTGAAGTTCCATCGCAAACATGAATCTGATCTCTTCACTTCCCTCTATCCCAGTCTATCTCCATCTCCATCTCCATCTTCATCTCCATCTCCATCTCTGTCTCTATTTATCTTCGACTCTTCTATCTTCCTCTCTGCACATCTAGGCTTCGATCTCCCAGCAGGCACAACACCATTCCGCCTCAACCCATTGCACACCTTACAAGCATATCCTACACCCGATCCCCTCTCTGCCTTTGACCCACACATCTGTCTACCATGCGCCCGTCTCATTACCAGCACCCATCGTCTACTTGCCATACCTCAGCATGGCTGAAGAGCCGCTGACGTAACCGAACCGTTACAATAGTACCCTCTCTATCCCAGGTGCAGGACCCGTACATGATTTTCTGTACCCCCCTACCCCCTTGTTTTGTAGTGATTCCATTCGAACATCAAGATGCAAGGGTACTCCTTTGACTACCCTACCTGTTTCCCTATCTATCCTTTGAAAAGACATGGTAGGTCATTCCTCACATGCTCTGTGGAGAATTACCCCTCCATTTTACTGACTTCAAACCCGGTCATGAATTATTCTTGGTACTACCCCTTATCTTAGCCAGACTCACCCCTATTAGATAACCCGTGGTACTCAGTACCCCCGATTTTCTATTTTCAAACCCCTTCTTCAGGCACACGATTTTGTTCCACCCCTCCCTTCTCCCCAGACTACCCCTGATAGCGGCCTCACAACCCTCTCTTTTTTTTCCTGCGAGGCTCTCGTGCGGGTTGAGCAGTTCGCCATGCAGGACACGGGGTTGGTGCAGACGCGCTACCATCAGTACCAGGTGGTGGGCAGGCTGAAGCCTTCGGCTGAGAAGGGTACACGCAAGGCAGACATCTACAAGATGAACATCTTTGCTCCCAACAAGGTTGTGGCCAAGTCCAGGTTCTGGTACTACATGTCCCTCCTCAAGCGAGTGAAGAAGGCCAACGGAGAGATTCTTCAGATCAATGAGGTGAGACTAAGAGAGAGGAAGTGGTCGATATACCATACGATTAGGGTGTGCTGCGGGAGTTTGTCGGATTCGATCCATGTTGAAAATGATACTATATGCTTGTCCTTTCTTATGTGCTCCGCCCCTCCAGATTTCTAGGGACTGATTTGTTGTTATGCGATACATCCTTCCTAGAGATGTCTAGTTAGTTCCATCGTGAAGTGATACAGCTGATTTTATTACAACGTCTTCATCTATGTTTGTGTATTGCCGAGGATAACTCGTAGTTGCAATGTAGTACTCCACGAGGTGAATGGAAATGTTAATGGTCAAATATCTAGATCTGTTTCATCGTTTCACACTCTCACTGTCACAGTATGCTAGTCGCATGTCTATTTTCAAACTCCAATCATGTCTCATTCTGTTGTTGCTGCATTTCTGACCTATAACGTTCGTTAGATCTTCGAGAAGAAGCCTTCCACTGTCAGCAACTATGGCATCTGGATGCGTTATGACTCTCGTACTGGTCACCATAACATGTACAGGGAGTACCGTGATGTCTCCATCTGCGGAGCCGTCTCCAAGATGTACCAGGATGTGGCTGCTCGCCATCGTTCGCGCTTCAGCAACGTGCAGATCGTCCGCACTGCCCAGGTGCCCGATGACATGCTCCGCAAGACCTGGAACAAGGAATACCTCGAGAAGGACATCAAGTTCCCTATCACCCATCGCGTCCTTCGCCCATCCTCCAAGGCTCTCAAGAAGACTTTTGTTGCTCGCAGACCCCGTACCTGCTTCGACAATTAGAAAGTTTATTTTATCTTCACAGAGTAAAGAGTCGTTTTGCCAATCCAAGCTTCCTTGATTCCCTTCAGTTTCTATTTGCAGCGATTGATTATCATTTTGGAACACTTCCGCAGAGCCAGACTCAGTCAACAATGCATTCAAGATCTTCACATCATGTGTATTCCCAACCTTCTCTTTCACTCTGCACCTACTGTCACTAGGTTTGGATCGTGCAAGAATCGCCGTCATGAAGAAATGTGAAGCAAATTTACTATTGAAAAGTACAGGTTGAGAAGTGACGATGAAACAGCAGTCCGATCCTTCTACCCCCAAAAATGCTACGAAGGCTCGGATTGCGCAGAACTGAAAGCGACTTATGAAGTTTACTTGTACCTGAAGGTGATGCGGCCCTGCAATCTTGGTCAGAGCATGTCAGCCAAGAGGAAGCAGTAATCTTGCCTTGGTCAGGTCGTAAGGGGACAGCTCGCAGGTCACTTTGTCTCCAGGCAAAATTTTGATGAAGTTCTTCCTGATCTTTCCAGAGATGTGTGCCAGGATCACCTAGTTTTTTTTTATCATCATTCGATCTTGCAAATGGTAACAACCATACCTGCTGGTTGGCCTCAAGCTCAACACGGAACATGGCGTTAGGCAGCGACTCTGTTACTACACCATCCAACTCGATGCAATCCTTCTTCTTCTTGTTTCCAGACATCATGACAACGGAGTTGGCCTGCTGAGTTCTGCCTCTCTGAATATTCATTGCAGTCAACAAAAACGGTGCCAATAGACTGCCGAGCGAATCTAACCTGGATCGGTGAAATGCCACATTTCGATGTGAAAGAAGCTGTGAGCGACATAGGCTTGAGGGCAGAGCCGACAAATCCAAGAGATTGAAACTCCGCAGCAGCACTCATCACGCTTGCTAGCAGAAGACAAAAAAACTGAATCGATCTCAAGCTCGATCGCATCATCTTGGGAATTGAGATCGTCGAAGGCCTGGAGTAAGGAGTCATCAGTGACAAACAAACAAATCAGCATTTGCATTGCACTCCTACTGCCTACATGTAGTTGGCCCACAGCAAGGCACATTCAGATATAGACTTGCACTTCAGTTGAAACTTGGAAAACTTATGAACAATCCTCAAACTAAGAAAACGTCTGAAGTTAAAAAGGGGACCAGAACAAAAGTTCGTCCCTTAGAATGTTTTCAAGCATTGCGCTGATGGCAAACAAGTGCATCAAACACATCCACATGATAGTAATGACAAGCAGATGTACTAAGCAGCTCAGGGGACATCTAGTAAATAAGACGCAAGCAAGACGTTTCACGAGGTAGAGCTGAAATCTCAATTGGAACGATCACTCCAACGGCAAGGACTGGAGGGCCATGATGAAGAAGAGGCAGGAAAAGGAGTGAAGGCAAACAAGACCAATGTTTGATGGAGGGATGGACCAGATTAGAAACAAGATCTTCTCCCTCCTCCTCCCTTCTTCCATCCGTGACGCCATGGCCTCACTTAGCGGCCTCAGTTCAAGTTCAAGGGGGTAGGGTGGCTTTTCAAGGGTAGGGTGGTCACCCGACCCTTGCATGTGTACCCTCGTCATGCTCCATTCACCGGTGGTTTTTAGTGAGATATGTCAGGGTAATGAGTGGAACAGCGGGAGGGTCAAGGAAAGATCTTAGCAGGTGAAAAGGATCGGTGGGGGTAGTGTGATGGGGTGGTCATGTGCAGGAGGGAGATGAAACTGAGCCCGCCTCAATATTTTGCAGGGTTATGGCAGGCTCAAAAAGGGGGTGGGGTCCACCAATCACAAGTTTGGTGGGAGTGAAAAAGCACCATGTTGGTGGGGTACGAGAAGGTGAAAATGGGGGTAGTCATTAATATTTGATGGTAGGGGTGTATTCCGTCTGGTACAACTGGAAAGTAACATTTTCTTATTTTTATCATTTTGTGAAAACTAATTCAAAACTAAACAAAGGTGTATTAGTTTTTATATGGTGGGTCCTGGTGGAGACACCGGTAACTTGATATAATTCAGTAAAGTGAAATGGTAGGGTGGGTGGTCAACAAATTGGGGTGGTGTGCAGCAGGGTCAGAGTGAGAGGACGGACGGGCCAGTGAGCGCTATGGCAGGGGCGGAGGCGGAGGCAGAGCAGGAGGTGGAGGGGATGCAGAAGGAGCAACGAGACATGAAGATGGTAGTCGGTTCTATCCCCGTGCTGAAGGAGGAGAGAGAAGGACAGGGAAGGTCCAGTCTCTCCGGCACCCCCAGGGACAACTGGAAGCACTTGGACTGGGTCCGTCTTGCGCACTGTATCTGCTCGGATCAGATCAAGCTGTTGATCCAGAGCGCGGAGAGGGCGGTGGAACGAGAGGCCAGTGGGGGAGAGTATACGAATCAGCTGAAGATTTTCACTACCATGACAGAGCTGTTCAATGACCCCTCGTTCAAGCCCAGGAACCCGTTCCAAGACCCGCGCATTAACCACCTAGATCCGTCTTCGAGGAGCTCGGACGAGAGGAGGAGTGTCAGGTACATCAAATCAAAGTATCAGGATCTCAAGAGGAAGCTATACGATGCTAGGGAACACCACCAGCAGGCTGGTGAGGACAAGGATTTTTTCCCTTTCTGCGTCGACAGGAAAGAAGATGGCAAAGCTTTTGGCAAACCGAAGCCTTTTGTCTATTACTTCCACATGCTTTGCGAGGGTCATGGCGATGTATGTCAGTTGATTGACTCGTGTAGCGGAGCAGATTCGTCCATCAGAGGCAACTCGCAAGGGTCCATGCCGGGCGAAACACCTCTGGTTGACAAGGATGGGCAGATGGATGATGCCCGCCATGTTCGACCGACGCCCAGCCGTCTGAAGTTTCAGGGGTCCACGTCAGTGTCTGAAGGAGTGAAGAGAAAAGCAGATGAAATGCTGGAGAGTGTTGGCCATGTTGTTCAGAAGTTCGCCGAGCGTCTCAACACAGCAACTGAGGAGATGTCTGATTTGGAGCAATCTCGCCTAGAGCTTACAAGAATGCAGCTGCTGGGCTCTCTTCGACAACAATTTCGTGAGATCTCGGCGGAGCTCCGCCGCACGGATATTTCCTCCGAGGAGAGGGAGTTTTGGTGCGGCCAGCTGGCTATCGTCAAAGCTGATATCGTGAAGAGAACACAAACATGAAAAGAGCGGGCCTGCTTTAATGACTATCATCATCATATTTCGTTCATGAAAACATCCTCCATGGGCTCATTCGGCTACGAACACACGACTTGTTATGTTCTTGAAAGATTATACATAAATTCTTAAAGATAAGACCAGGGAAGTTGTTGCAACCTCCCAATCGTTCTCGCCGGCCGCACAGGACACGTTAAACAACCGGAGATCATGTCATATCTCGCTCAATTTCCTTCCAAGTCGCCCAGAAGGTCGTGGAGTGCTAGTAATGCATATCACGGACTAGAGCCATGTAGCCTATATCCTCCTTCTCAGTCTTTTTCCCCGTTGTCGTGTTGGACTTCGACTCCGTCTGGAACAATGATCAAATCTCACCATGAGCGGGCGCACCGCTCACCTTTGGAGTTATGCTGAAGAGCACGTAGAGCTGATCCCTCTGCGGTCTCAGCTCAGAAACATCTACAGTCCAGTCTCTTTCCGAGAGTATCTGCAAGCCATAATCAGCCAAGGCAGACCAGGGCAGCGGCCTGCCTGTGTAGCATCGGCAAAGTTCTCCTCAGCGATCAAGTTTTCACGGGTCAGGAGCTGTAGAGCTGTGTGATTCCCGCCATCACCCACAAAATTCTAAGACAAGACCTGCATGTAAAGCTCCTCAGCCGCCTTCCGTCGGATTCTGGGAAACCTGAGGAGCGCTTCAGAGCAGAAGGAGAAGTGGGAGAGCAAGGCAGGACCGGTGACATGTTAGGGCTAGCAGCGTCTGCAAGGACGGCTCCTTCAAGGATTCTCCTTGGAGCTGAAGGAGGGAAGCCACAACTGAGATGCCAGCCTGTACCAAGACTCATGCTCCGACTTGTTCTGACCTTCAGAAGGTGACTCTACCTCTAGCTTGACGACGTCCTTACAACCCCGTAGCTGACTTTGAGTGATCTCCAGGAGCTTCGACGGCACATCAAGGGACGACATTCAAGTCTTACAGGAAGCACCTTGCGAGGAAGTTCGCTTGCATCGGAGTCAAGGTGATCCAAGAAACTGTTAGACAACAACAGGTGCAAAGTCTGCGGGGCTCATTGGGATTTTGCGAGTGAGGGTGATTCGAACAGGACCTTCAAGGTTGGAATCACGACGTTGTCTCGATCGGAAGAATCTTGCAGCATATCAGGGCTTCTGATTGTTGCGCAAGTCTTCACCTTCAATCAGACGCAGGAGGTCATTCAAGATACATTCCGACTGGGCGTTCTGACAGCATCCATCACAAACGTGTCCAAGGAATGCACACACGCACGGGATCATGAGACGAGGAAAGAAAGGATGTCAGCGATGCCCACGAATGCTTCACTAGCGATTCAGAGATTCCTCCTGCAGCCCCACATTCAGAATAAATCTTCATATTCGCAAGAATCCTCACCGATGCTGATCACCATTCCTGATATCACAGCATGTCTGTAGTCATCGCAGGTCAAAAGTTTTGCGACGCGCGCGAACGCATCTAGGAGATCAGAGTCAGTCCCATCCTAGCGTTGGAAGGGAACTTGACCTCCAGCAGAGTTCCAATCGACGGGCTCTCTTATAACCTCGTCAAGAATTTCTCTATGATTTACCTTCACCGTTATAGTCAGCCCTGAGAGGATTTGACATGCAGCAGCCGTACGTAAGAGACTGAGGGTTCTTGGCTCAAAAGATCCTTGAGCGCCTTGCCAGCTACGCTGTACATGACATAAGCTGGAGGCTAGAGATCTTTGTCAAGGGACCTCCTCGTTCTGTCTATCTTTTCAGCGAGTTGCTTCAAAATTCCTTGAAATACTGCACCGCACATTTCTGCGCTCCAATGGTGTTCTGTTTGAATGTCATACACAGCAAAAGGAAAAGAAGGTGAATGCCTTTGTTTGTTTCTACTCCACTTAGTAGCTTGACTACTTTGACAAGACCCACCATGGCTGCTTCTCTTACCCATGACCCAACATCTCCTCTGACAGCAAAATCGTTCAGTTCGTATTAATCTGATGTGATGCTTGTAGGAATGTCTGCGGGGGATAGTTCACCTGTTGTCTACACAATAGTCCCCCAAGCATTTCAGTAAAGTGTCGATTAGGAACGAAGTGTTCTTGATTTCACTGTCTCCATCTGCAAAACTTGTGTGTATTTGTTCAACACCAACAGTCTCTGCAACTGATACAAAAGCCTTTCCCAATATTACGACGATGGCAGTATGAAACTTTTCGAACCTTCACAGCATTTCTCCTTGACTCTCCATCTCTTTCCTCGGCAACTTCTTGGATAGTCTAGAAGTATGTCAGAACCTAAGGATCGACTTTGAAACACTGACCGTAGCAGCACTTGCAAGCCCCAACAATACTTTCTCCAAATTGTTTTGTAGACAAAGAACTGAGCTAGATTCACTGGGAAGAACAACCTTCGTAAACCTTGCCTTCTTTCCCTAACGCTCCTAGAGCCAACGCAAATCCTCGACGGGAAGCAGGGTTATCATCTTCAAGCATCGTAACATACCTTGAGAGTAAAGTTATAAACACGCGAGAAGAAAATAGATAGAAGACCGTTGAACCAAGTCCAATTTCCACTGCAATAAATGCATTAAAATGTGACGCTGAAGATCATTCTTCTCACTTTCTCTGACATCTTTCCGAATTGCTTTCTGGACAATGCATGAACAGCTGCTACTGCAGCACAGGAGATCTCCTCTGTATTTGCATGAGACATCAGGTCCACCATCAATCCGGGTAAAGCTCACCTGTCGGATGTTTGAGGTTCTCTGCGAGACTGTCGAAGTATGACGAAATCTGCCATGCGTGTCACGAAGATGTAAAATAGAACCGGATTACTCACAAGTTTCGGCGTCAAGTCTTGATCTTTCTGGCCGAGTGATTCCAATACTTTGGAGCATGCTGACCTCATCATTTCACCGCCTCGTCCACTGTCCAATTCCATCTCACGTGAGGCAAAAAGCTAAGAAGCACCCATTGTACCGAAACAATCTGGCCTTCTCAACAGCTTGCACCAGGTTTCTGATCCGATCCTTAGGCGTAAAAATCAACTTGTTTGATCGAGATATGATCAACGAGATACCATTGTCTCATTAGGTATTGGATTCGTTTCCAAGTCTAGTCCATGAACAATTTCTGCAATACCACAAGCAGCACCATGCCTGCACAAGAGCCTTTGAGAGATATTCACTCGAACATCACTTGCCTGGTAGGGACATCAGGAGACATGCAGAGGTCAAGGAGCGTTGGAAGGACACTTGTTATCAATCGAGGAGCACATACGTCTCCGAGTAGCCTCAGGAGTGAGGCTAGAAAGACCATTAGTTGCCGTACACCACAGCAAAGCCTATGCCTGATAGAAGACGAATATTCTTATCCCAATGCCTTAACTGGAATTCAACTACATATTCGATGATTCCCTCCTGTTTCAAGTATCAGTCTTGTTGCGAATAGACCTTCAATTTTGATTCCTGATAGGCTTCAAATAAAGAAATGTATGGCGCAACCACAAGAAAAGAGTTGGAACGATTGCCGACAGCAAAATAATCCGTTCGTGTGACAATGTCTTTGGAAAGGCGTGTCAGATCTAGCGAATAGCTGAAACATCGTCATGTACCGATTCCATGTGGGTAATTCCCCTGACGTCCGACATTTTCCTGGAAAGCAGCTGATGCAGCCCTTCATAACAATCATTCAGACGCAATCGTCTTCGATGCGAACAAACCTCCTGCAGTTGATCTCTCTGTCTAACACTGTCTGCACAAGAAGTCCCTTCGCAAGCTACACCATCTGTCGTTACACAGCTGCACCCTCCAACATGTAGCACAGACCTCTGGGACGTGCGGCAGCATATCACTGGGGGCATATGCCCTTGCAAATGCCCAGCATACAAATGATGCAGCATCTCGAACATTTGCACCGACACTCGCCGAGCCTCTCCTGTTGCATACAACAAAGTGGTTAACAATATCTTCGGTCAGGTTTTATTCCAACCTGACATCGAATTTGAGAGCTCTTACCACCAATTGCACCACAGCCTTCAAAGAAATGGGAACAATCAAGTTTCGAACCAGATATGCAATGTCTCACTTGCAATCGATGGGGAAGCAACAATCCTCTACGAGCTAATTCTGCCAGAGCCAGACATCCTCCTTCAGACGATAATAAGTCGATATTCGCGATAGGACAGCGTTTCACCATGCCATGAATTCACAGACACAGAAGTCTGAGTGCTGAAAAGATCGATGACAGCGCCAACGACCTGCCGACAAGATCATGCATTGAATGAAATTTCATGATTCTTTCCTCATCTGCTAGATGCTTCGGTAATCTGGAAGTTACTCGGCCTATTCCCTTTGCCGCGCTCCACCGGACCTTAGTTGTTGAGTCAATGCGATGATGGTGTGAAGTTAGCATTCAGACCACACTGTCACGATCACACAATCCCTGCAAGAGCGAGTCGATGACATATTCAATCTGATCTCAACATTGAGGATGCAGGAATGTTGAAGATGTCAGCTCTTGCCTCCAACGGTACATATGAGTCATCATCGTCGTCTTCAGCGTCCTTCGCTCCTTTGGTCCCTAGGAACATCCATTCTTTGAGTTGTATCCTGACGTTTAATCGCGAAACATTATGCACCTTCCGCAGCTTCAGTGACAGATTGTTGGTTGCCCTTCAGATTGTCCAACAAGGAGCGATGACCTGTGATTCAGTCATCTCGCTGCCAAGCATACTGTATGAAAATGCCTCGGTTGTATCGCCACGTTACAACACGGGGCGGCAGGTAAGTAAGTCCGATTCTCTGTGAGAGCTTGCATACCAAGTGTCGCTGCAGAAACTCATCAAATAGGAGCAAGAGGCAGTCCAACAGGGACCTGGAGTGTACTTTTGTTTTGTGAAGATTCGTAATGCAGAATATCCAGGACAAGTGGAACCTTTTCAAGTTAAGTCATTCAAGCAGGTCTTCAAAGGACCCTCACCTTGTCCAGGAGACTTTTTCGTTGGCCTTGCCTAAAAATGTGGGCTAATGCCTGGTTGAGACTTTTCAATGCCCAGGTTACATCCAGGCACCCCCAACCTGGTGGATCCCTGTTGCAAGCAAGGAGTTGTGCATCCCCTCCTGTTCCAGCCGCAGCCTGCACCTGATTTCGAAGATTCGTTACGAAATGTGCATGTTGAACGATGCTCACCATTTCAAGAAAGAAACAAGGGGCCCATCTTCCATATCAGGCCTAGTGAGCAATTTGCCCAAAAGAAATGCCGCTGTTGAAAACAAAGTTGACTCGGGACTCTAGAAGCATTCGGATCCCACCAGCATCTCTTGTTTTGGCTGCTTCGTATAGGCAACTTTTGCATATGTTGACAATTCGGTCGACCAGTCCATCTCCGTTGGCGTTTTCAGCTACCTGCACGAAACGACCAATTCAGCAGAATTTCAGTCACAGCAGCACTAACGAACCTCCGAGCCATCCAGTATCGTAGAGTCGACTGTATCTAAGGAGAAAGGCACCATGACGAGGATGCTCAGCCATAAGAAGAGGATGAATCGAATCTATGTCCTGGTCAGTCTCTCTGCAGCGATCACACGGAAGTCACTGGACCTCCCATGTGTTGCTCTCCTTTGGATTCTGCTTGGCCTGCCAGCATCCTTAGATCCCCGCCGTGACGACAGCAGGGTCTACCAGCAGGGCGAGGCATGGCTCGATGTCCGCAACCCTGTGAGGGAAAAACCTTGTGAGCACTTTGTGCCCCCTGACCTTTGTGAGTGTGTACAGGACGCTGTGGGTCCACAACTAAGAGTCTCAAACTATTCGGGTACAGAGAGTACCAGCAACAGTTGCGGAGAACTTCAGAATCCCGCTCCCCCTGGTCCTGAATGATCGAAAACACAGTGCTTACTATCGTCTCAAGGTTTGCATCCAGAAGCTGTCAGAAGTCATTTCAAAATCCTTCCAGACATGTTGCAAGGGAAACCTGAGGTTGTTCCTGGTACTTGTCAAAGATTCCAGATATTCTCTGAACCGATGCTTCTTTCAGATCTTGGAGTAGCTCCTGTACCTCGCCTGCCTGTAGGGAGCCGCGTAATGCACCTGCAACAAGAGCCTCGAGGTCTCACTGACCTCTACAAAGAATGTCGGCAGGTCTGAGATGGCGCCTTCGTCGGCCTCCTCGAGGAGGGAGGATTGCTCTTCCAGTTCTTCTTCTGCGACAGTATCATGTCGCGCCTTCACTGCTGTCGGAGGAAGACAGCACCTTCGTCCTTGACCGACATGTCTTGAGGATCAGCTGGACGGTATCGGGGAGCTTGACCTGCCTGTCTCAACGATCTCGCCTTCTGCTTCCCTTCTCGCCTTTCACTGGGGTCGCTCAGATTCTGACCATGGAAGTCATTTGGCGGGAAACAAAAACTTTTACTCAAATTCAAGTTCCGGTGACCCGCCGCGGGCCCGGGGCCCGGGCGGCCGCTCAAGGCCCGGGCCGCGGTCGACGGGCGCATTCACCGTGGCGCCCGGTCGGCGGTTCACTGAGTCAAGTGGCAGCTGGCCGGGCCGCCGCCTGAGTGGTTCACCAGTGAATTCGGAAACCGCAGTTAAGTGAAGATATCAGTCAAGTTTGGGGGACAGCAGTCGGCAGGGCCCCGGGGCCGTGAGTAGACTCGACAGGGCCCGGTCGCCGCACTGCGGCAACGCCGCCGGGACCAACTTGACCGTTTGAGTAACTTAACTTTGAGTAAAGACTTTGAGTAAAGGAGGCAGGAGAGTTATTTTACCTGACCGGTCTGATCTACTGAGGCTATAATGTACTGAACACAATCGGGGAAATTAGACCCCTTGAAGTTCTTTGCCTGGCAGCAGTTGAGCAGGAAGGGAGCAGGAGGCGCTGAGGGGTAGCTGGAGAAGGAGCCGAAGCGCTGGGTGTGATAAGAGCTCAGCCAAACGTGAGGAGGACAAGAGCTGGACAAAGCATACCTGAGACCGGCCGGCGACAATGCGCGGAGAAGCTGGTGGATACATATCGGTTGCCCACAATCAATCCATCACCTCCAAGCTGCTGGGCCTTGCGAGCAGGTCGTACAACCCTGTGCGTCCCTTCTCCTTGAAAGGGCGGCTCTTCCATGTCTTCCTCTCCTACCGAGTGGCATGCGACAAGGAGATAGCGCACATGATCTACAAACAGCTTCGAGAGGTCTCCACCTCAAGGCTCCCCATCCCCGCCGAAGGGAGAGGTCAGTGGTGCGGCTTCACCAAGAAGCCCTCAGGCCTGCCTCCTCAATGTGCTAAGGTGTTCTTGGACGTGGAATGCCTGGAAGACGGGAAGAACTGGGAGGACTCGTTTGCTCGCGGAGTCGTGCACACCATGGTCTTCGTTCCCCTACTCTCGTGGACGGGGGATGGGGGAGGGTCGCTGGGAGGGATGATGTCGCTGAAGGATGCGGACAGAGTGGACAACGTGCTTCTCGAGTACATCATCGCGTTGGAGTGGACGCGGATGGAGGACAGCTCTCTTCGCTCGATCCTCCCCGTGTTCATGGACAGGGACTCGGAGGGGGCAGAGGTGAGGTTTCCGATGGAGGAGCTGAAGAATCTCCCCGACCGTCCTTCCAAGATGACCAACGACACGGCAGAGCAGCTGCTGCGGAGCTTCGGCGTGAAGGAAGCGCAACTGATGGAGATGAGAAGCAGGTCGGTGAAGGAGACGGTGGGGATGATCTTGAAGCTGCAGGGGATCAAGCTGTCGCAGATGTCGTCAGAGCAGCCCTTCACTGACTGCGCCGAGAGGATCCTGCATGTAGTTCGTAGGGACATAGACTCGTGGAGGAGGAGGAGGTTTCGTTTCAACACGCCGACGGGGGTGGAGCTGCTGGACTGGCTACAGGAGAACAGCCTGATGCGGGCAGCTCCCATCCTGAATGCTGCAGACCTGCACACGCTCGACATCATAGCGAAGCTGAGGAGAGAGGACGTGGATCGCTTGTGGACGCTGTTCAGCATAGCTACTGGGGTTGAGAATGGGACTGAGTTAGAGACTTTGGGCCTGCGACTGCGACTGGCGGCTGCGATCGAGAAGCTCAAGGAGGACGAGCGATCGCACAAGCTGGCGAGGAGGCTGGATGACTACACAGACGTGCGAGGATCTGCACTGTCCTGCACGTTCTCCAGTAACGCTTGTGAGATTGCAATGTCAAAGGTGTTCTTCCAGGTTGCCGTAGCGCTCTATGGTAGTGGTCTTATCCTCTTTGGGGCTTACGTGATGGCGAACCCGTTCCTGTGGTACGGGGGGGGGAGGACGAGGCTGCTGTGGGCAAACTACTTCATCATGACTCCTCTGAATGAGATCGGGCTAGGCATTCTCATCATCCTCATCTCCTACGCTGGTCGTTACCAGTCTCCTCTAGTTGCTCGCCGGTTTGCTCAGAGGATGTTTACGGTGAACAGCTTCACGGCTGTCCTCGCCCTCCTCGTCGAGATCCTGCAGCATGCTCTGTCCTTGCACGACCCGAGCTGGACGTGGGAGACGTCGGTGGAAACAGGCTTTCTCATCTGGATCATCGTCTGTATAATCTTCAGCCTTGTCCTCTCCCTCCTCCTCCGCTACCGACAGGAGTATCTAATTTTCGGCATCTTCATCTACTGTGGAGCAGTCCAGCTTCTTGTGCGGTCAACCCGATCCTCAATGGAGGAGCCAACAAGTATGTCGGGGACCTGATGCTTGTGATCGCCTGCTCATACTTCGCCATGATTCCGATTCTCTTGGTTCTGTGGGTGCGAGTGCGTAAGGAGGCGTCGCAGTATCTCAGCCGGGACGTGGAGCGATACAACGAGCGATGGAAGCGGGTGAGGGAGAGGTTCAACATCGAAAGCCTCAGCGTGGCGAGTGAGCCCGCTCCTCATCGCGGTAAGGTCGCAGATGTACAGGTTGTGGTGGACTCGAGCCGCTGCGAGGACGATCGTGAAGCGTTCCGTCGCGTCCTGGTGCTGACTCGCCGCATCTCCTCCATCATCACCAACGACTCTCGCGCCCTATCGCGCCAGGACAAGTGGACCAACATAGTCTGGCTTCTGACCTCGCACTTCGACCAGAGCAGGAGGTACTCCCTCAACGGCAAGGCGCGGCAGCGATCCTCGGACATCGACCAGCTGTTTGCACAGGCCGCGAGCATCAACGAGCCTGTCCAGCAGGTGCTGAGCTCCATCGTGGAGAGCTACCTGGCGACTCAGACGCATGAGAAGGAGCAACCGACGAGCGTTCCATCCCCAGCTGAGCTTCATGCGACCTTTGGGGGGGAAGAACCTGTCAAGAAGTTTGAGTTTGTACCTGGGCCGGTGAAGCAGCCGCTGCGGAGCTTCCAGAAGTGCATCAGGGCTTACAGGAGGTGAGGGCTGAGGGAGAGGGGATGGGGGAGAGGGGAGCAGAAGCAAGAAGAAGAAGAGTGGGGACAAAAGGAGAAGCAGCACGAGGAGGAGGTGGTGGTGGTGGTGGTCGAGG